GCTATGACTTTCTTTTCTATTCTAGCAGTTTGTATGAGAACAAAGATTTTACAAAGTTTAGAACCTTGAAAGAGGGTCATGATCTTGAGAGGTGGGGATATTGAGGGGGTTCAAATCTCCTCAGCATGCAACAACAAAAAAAGTTAATGAAAACTAAACATGATATGGGCTTTCATGAAGCAAAAAATGTTTTGTTTTAATAGTAAAATATAAGGTAGATAACTCACATAACAAAAAATACATGAGCAATTTTGCATGTAGATTTGTTCATTGTGTAATACATATACAAATGTTTATCACCATTGTTTTTTTTTAAATTTATTTATTTATGCATACAAGATCTGGGGTACAGACCAGAGGTGTGGGGGGTGAGAGGATTCACCAGAGAGAGTGGGGAGCAGAACAAGGCAGATCTACTGAAATAACCTGCTGAGGGAAGCAGCGTGCTAGACAGGAGAGGTCTGCTGCACCATATGGGTAACTCCCTGGCTAGCCTGAGAAAGAACTCATGCTGCAGTGGCTGCCAATAGCTTGATAGCACTGTCTTTAACCCCTGCACCACCAGGGAGACCCCAATCACCATTGTTTGTTGAGATATTATCTTGTAATATTTTTATCTAAGTGAATGCTGGGGAGTTATTTACTATTTTAGAAAGAAAAAGGTTTGAATATGGATTAATTAAAGCAATGACTAACAGCATGTAATTTGCAGTCAGACAAATATGTGTTCAAATTCAAAATCTGTCCTTGCTATAAGATACAGCAGAAGTCATTTAACGTTTCTCAGCCTCAGTTTATTGATGTATAAAATGAATATTGAAATTAACCTAATAGACTACTATGAAGATGAAATGTAAATATGGATTAAAGTGTATGTAAATATAATAAAAAACATTCTGTACATAGTTAAAAATAGCTTAACAATTTAGAAATGTCTTGTGCTTTCTAAATCATAATTAACTTGATGTGATATGTATTTCTTTTGTTGATACTGTTGATTTCTGAGAGAAATAATGATGACATAGAATCACTTAGGACACTTTCACATTAAAAAAATTATATATTAAACCAGCTTTTTCACAATATGCATCTAAGAAATAAAGGAAATTTATCCACAGTTATACATAACTAAGTGATTTCCATATATTATGTAAGCAGATTTGGGACATTTATCCAAAATGGACTTTAGGTTTAATAAGTAATTTCTGGACATCTGCCAATCTTGTAACAAATCATGTTTAGGATACAGGTGATAGATACTTTTATTGGACCAATTTTGATGAGAACAGGTGATTAAAAAATGGCCAAATGTTCTTAATTTTTATGGTCAGAATAGTTTCAAGTACATTATTGCAATGACTTTATATTGTTTGTTAAGTTAATGTGTGCCTTCCTCATCCTAAAAATAATCCAAACTAGTTATTATCAGGTGCTACCTTAAGAAGTGAGGAATTAAAAAAAAAAAAAAAAAAGAAGTGAGGAATTGCCCTCTGGAAAGTTCTGTTTATATTTTCATATTTCTAAATTACTTCTTAGCAAATTACTATTTCTGTGTACTAAATTATGAGCTAAGACTGCATCTTTTATAGCTAACAAATAACAATTTTGAGCAACTATTTAAACAAAAATGATGACCTCCTTATAAGACGATCTACAAACAAAGCATCACATTTTTAAATAGTTGTATTAGAAGCAAATAAAATGAGTACTAATAGGATAGTATATTCAGTGACAAATGAATAAATAAAAGGACACATCAGTCTTTAAAACAACATAAGCAGCTATCACTTCTATGATATAATTCTAGGAGTGATTCTAGTGAGTAGGTGGCGCTTTCATTTCAATCAGAAGAATTTATTCTGTTCTTGGGTGGTCTATTTATATTTTATCATTCAAGTCATTATAAGTGTTAGGAATACAGTACAACTAGACTTATTCTTTTCTTTCAAAAGAAGAGTAAGAATCTCCTTTAGAAGCAGCCAAGACAAACCTAGGCAGAAGTTATTTCAGTGAAATGCCAGAAAAGCATGGGCTCCTGAGCAAACCTTAGGACGTCTTTCTTCTAAAACTCCTGGGTAAGAAATAAGCACAGCTAGGCAGGGTGTGGCTGGCTACAGGAAGTCAGGATTTCTAAGGAGGCACCATTCCTATTCCTCCCACTCCCCTGGGGAGGGCGGTGTTGGTAATGGTATAAAATGTGCTTAGAGAACACATAAAAATGTTATTAGAAACTGTTATGTGGCAGATTCTTAGGCTGATTCATTCTCTTTTTCTCCTATGTGAAATAGTCGTCCAGCAGGATGGCAAAATGAATAGACTAGTGAAATAAAGTAGATAGTATTTGTATAGTGATCATGAATTTAAAGTAAGAACAGTCAAGATACATGTGTGTTTCTCTCCAACCTGTCTAGCTGCCTGGGTCTTCTGGTTCAGTGTCTCTCAAAAGGCTGCAGTAGAGGAGTTGGCCAGGTCTGAGATGGGTTTTCTGCTTTAAGATCTCACCGGGACACAATCAAGGTGTCCAGTGGGCTATGTTCTCATCTGGAGGCTCACTTCCAAGCTCACTCAGGTCATTGGTGGAATTTGTTTCCTTAAGGCTGCAGCACTGCAATCTTCGGGATTTATTTTGTATTTTTACTTGGTGGAGACCATCATATCTCTTAGAAGATGTGTGACGTTCACAACATGGCAGCTGGTTTCTTCAAAGCCAGCTGAAGAGTGAAAGTGAATCTACTAGCATGAAGTCTTATCTAATGTCACTTAATCATGGGGTGACATCTCATCACCAATTCATATTCATGGACTTGAATATTCCAATACATTTCCATAGTCTATTAGTCAGAAGCAAGTGACTGGGCCACATTGCAGGAGGCAAGGATTGTGGGATCTACCTTAGAGACTGTCTGCACCACATTCTGTTCCCAATGATTAATATCCAGTAAGTCAAACTTGCAAATATATTTTTTAAAGATTTATTTATTTATGCATACAAGAACTGGGGTACAGGCCAGAGGTGTGGGGGGTGAGAGGATTCACCAGAGACAGAGTGGGGAACAGAACAGGCAGATCTACTGAAATACACTGCTGAAGGGAGCAGTGGGCAAGTCAGGAGAGGTCTGCTGTGCCCTGTGGGTAGCTCCCTGGCCGGGGGTCAAACTCTTGCTGTCGTGGCTGCAGATAGTTTCATGGGTTACGTCTTAACCCCTTGTGCCACCAGGGAGGCCCTGCAAATATTATTTTTAACACAATCTACAATCTACAAACCTCTTAATCTGTGTTAGAAACTACTCCAAGTACTTCAAACATATTAGTTTCCACAACAACCCAGGTAGATTAGTCACAATTTTATCCCCATTTCACAGATGAGGAAACGAGGGACAGAAACATCAGTTAATTTGTCCCAAGTCACTTAGCTATTAACTACAGAGGCAGGACTCAAACTCATACTCTCTGACTTCAGAGTCCAAATTCTTTCCTGTAATGCTAAGCAGTCAAAACAAATTAAAGGAAATAATTTCACAGCAGCTCCAAGAACCCAAATAAGTTTTGAGACTACATCTTTATAGTTTAATTTTGATGCCACGCCAGTTGGCATGGTCATTGTGTCTATTGGGACATTGTGTCTTTCTTCTGTCAATAGTAAGTAACACAGGCCAAGTGGAGATGCGGCATCTGGAACAACAACAAAAAATCTTGGGGAACTTGCTGTGCTGAGATTTCTTAAAGGAGGCATTCCATTTTTATCTTCTCCTTATTTAAAGATACTGCTGGAAAAATACAAATTTTGTTTGTTGTAGATTCATAAAGACAGAATAAAGACTAGACGGAATAACTCCAACAATAATAAGTGAATATACCTGCTGTGCATTTCCTTCCTGTTAAGACTGTAAGAGGGAAAAATCCACAGTTAATTCAAGTATATTGCACCTATAGTGGAGCTGAGAAACCACATAATGAGGGGTCACTCAAACCTGAGAAAGCACCTCAGGGAAGGTGATTAAGCCAAGCAGAGGTATATGACTAAACAATGACCAGAGGAGGAAGCAAGTTAGGGACTGAGGGTGTTGTAGTTGTAGTTTCAGTGTGGGCCAGACGCCATTCTAGACTAAGTTTCTGAGCATTTCCCTGGAGACAGCATCACTATGGAGTTACCCATATTAGAAAGATCCAGCCCAGTAGGCATCCTAGAGTGGGCATTAAATATTTGATTCAGGACACAATGACAGTGAACTGATAAGCTTTGAGAGAAGAAAATAAACTGGAAACATTTACTATGGTGGTGGAGAGTCTTAATAATTATTTTTACACCAATTACATCTAGAAAAGCCCTGTTATATAGCAATTGACTAGCTGGCTGACTTCCAATCTTCCTTCTGCTTCTTAATTACCTAGTGTGTCCTTAGTAAACACTTCGCTTTTGGATGTCTATTTCCTTATCTCTGAATTTAGAGGAGTTGGGCCAAATCATCTCTAGCTAACAGCACTGGAAGGGGATTTGAAGCCCATATTTCCACACCATTAAAGCCTACTCAATTTAGAGTTCTGTGTTTCTCTGGAATTGTTGCACACTAATACTTTCACCCACTTTCTCCCTCGTTCATTCCATTCTGTTATTTATGTACATTTTAGAATATAGTAAATTTTGAGGGGCTGTATTTTGAATTTTAAAAAGTCATTTAACAGGGTGTGTTCATTATTTCACAATATTTCAAAACATACCCTGAGCTACAGAAAGTTTAGGGTGTGGGAAGAGTGGTGAGCTGTTCATTTAGACTGATCTCATGAAAGAATGAAGTACCCATATCCCAGGAAACTGTCAACAGGAAAGTCAAAACTCTAATTCCTCCACCACCCATTTGTTTGTCTCTTAGAAACAGTGATCTCATGAATATTTCAGCCTTAAGCTGAACTCATGAACCCAGCCTTAAGCTGAGCCAGATCTAGTGATCTATGTACTTCTGGGAAATAACGTGCATCCTTTTAGATATTCACTGCCTTACCTGGAGTCATCACATTCAAACACTGCAGGGAGGATTCCTTTGGTGTGGCCTTGAAAAATCAGGGTGGATCATCCCTGGTTGTACCACACAAAGAAGTATGACAGAGGGAACATCTGACCCAACTGCAGGGAAAACAAGCCAGCACACAGGCTCTTTAAGTTGCTAAATTAACACACCCACTCTTCTGAAATTAAAAAATGTATATTCTAATTAGCAAATAATTTTTACTTTTAGTAGGAAAAAAGCACCCAAAGAGTATAAAAATCACCATAATCCCATTGTCCTAAAAGGTTAAACACAGGACCTTCTCTTGTACACATCTCTGATTTTTTGGATTTGTGTGCAATAACAGCCCACTTAAAACATCTCTTGTGCAATGCCAACATGATTCTATATTTTCAATAAGATTGCCTCCTGTATGCATCGTTTTCTTTATTTTTCTTTCCTTTTTTTTTCTCCATGCTTTTGTTTATTTACCTAACATCTATTGACTAGCCACTTTGTATTAGGCCCTTTCTCTTTCCAAGCCTGTAAGACAACCTGTATTGTAATGTCAGATGAGGAAACTGAAGGACAGGGAATGGGGGCGATTTTTCCAAATCTCACAGTTATCTACCTCTCCTCTTTATCATCTACCTGTGTACCTATATATCTATCTATGTATCTATCATCTAATAGATGAAGGTATTATCTCTATTTTTTTAAAGACAAGCTGAGATCATACATACTACTAAAAAAATACATAACCGCTGTTAAACATTTACTTGCCAGTGCTTTGAATTTCACAGCTTATTAAATACCAACCTCTAAATAGATATCTTCCTATGCTGCTGAGTAGAGATTCCTTCTTTCATAAAGAAGGCAGCAGGAACTAGGAAAAGCGTGGTGATCTCAGTGGGAAAACAAACAACCTGCTCATAGGACCCCCACTTTTAAGGCTGAGGATCAAGGGGAGCCTCCTAAAGAGTGAGGGTTCCTTCATCTCCCAACACTTTCTCAAACCCCATTGGCCTCTTCTTTGGGAAGCTTCTTCATTCCTGTATTCCCCCCCTCCTGTGAGTTCTGAAATCCTTGTTTGTGCAGTCCCTCTGGCACTTTTGACCTACTACCTCGGAAAGGGAAATGTCTTCGATATCTTAATTTTTGTACCTCAAATTGGCTTTGAGGACACTAGCCCTAATTTTTGATTTCCCATGGTACCTGTCATAAGGACAGACACAGAACAGCCTGATCAACATATTTTGAACAAACACCTATTTGCTCTTAATTGAATGTGGAAAATGTGCCAGGTTGTTCTTGAGAGAATAGTTCAACCCCAGGGACATTTATGCCATCAGCATGGGATTCTAACCCAGCCCCTCCTGCATAACACATTTCTGTACTCCTTATCTAAGCCTCACTGTTTTTCAACTGGAAGGTTAAGAATCAGAGGAAAATACTTTCCTGTCATTAATCCTGTCCCAGCAGGCACAGCTGCCACCATAAACAGTGCTGCTGGTAGCATTTACAGCGTCCCAGGTGACATGGCATTCTGACTGGGTGCCAGAAGGCATGTGATTCGCGACTGGCAAACTACCCTGTTGACAATCACACCTTCCATTCTCCCCCTCCAGAGCTGCTGTGCTCACTGGAAAATTAAAGACCTGCTTTTGTATTTGATAGACAACAGACAACTCCTCTATTAGTTGTATTCTATTTTTCAGACTTGTAAATTTTTATATAATTTCAACCTTATATAGAAATTGTAGAGCAGCATAAACTCCATATATGCTTTACCTAAATCACTAATTGCTGGCATTCCTGCCCCACAAATATACATCTCTATCATCTCTAGAGACATATCATGTTTCTTTTTCCATGAGAACTTTAGTATCAACTTGTACTATCTGTAAATTTATAATTTAATAAGGAGTGTAATTTATAAATTAACATGGAGTTGTTTACTTTTTGATCAAATATATTTTGTTGCTTTTATGTAGGAACCTTTTACAGTTTTCCGCATAGTTTTTACACTTTTTGTGTTAGATTTATTTATATCTACGTATTTTTCTCTTGTATTGTGACTTCTAGCTGGTTATTATTTTGTGTATGATAACCACTGACTTTTGTCTGTTCATTTAATAGCCTTGCTGAAATATTTTATGATTTGCTCTTATTACTGTTTCTCTAGGGCTTTCCAGGTATATATACTCTCATGATCCTTGAAAATCAAAGTAGTTCTATTTATTCTTTTCTAATTCTTTTTTAAAGATTTATTTATTCATGCATACAAGAACTGGGATACAGGCCAAAGATGCAAGGAGTGAGCAGATTCACCAGAGACAGAGTGGGGAGCAGAACAAGCAGACTGACTGAAATACACTGCTGAGGGGAGCAGCAGGTGAGACAGGAGAGGTCTGCCTTGCCACGTGGGTTGCTCCCTGGCCGGGGATCAAACTCGTGCTGTAGAGGCCTGGATGGCTTCATAGTGTGCTTAACCCCTTGTGCCACCAGGAGGCCCCTTTTTTCTAAATTCTTTTTATTTAAAGTTATATTATTTTTTATTGAGGCAATGTTGATTTACAACATTGTATGTGATTTAGGGGTATAGATTCACACCTCTTCAGATGTATGTTATCCTAATGCCTACCAACACAGCATACATAATCTTCTACCAGACCACTGGGCCCTGTAGGGTAAGTGAAAAATTCTCAGGCTTTTCCGCCCTCCCGCCATTAGCATTAATGATGGATCCCTGAGGTCCTACATGCATGTCTGATGGCAGGCACCTGGAGTAGGATGTGGGCATGCATAGGTGGGCACACCTGGGCTGAGACTGTGCTTATAAGGGCAGCGTCACAGGGATGCCAGCAGAAAGACGAACCAGCAGAGAACGAGAGAATAAAGAATGAGAGACCGAGAGACCGCGAGAGAACACCAGAGAGAACACCAGAAAGTAAAGACGCACAGGGGACTGGGAGGCCTGCCAGCCACCCCCCTCTGCCCGCCGCCCCGCTGCCTGCCCTGGTAAAGGCTCAATAGAAGCCCGAAAAAGCCACTGAAGGCTCCAGGACTCTCCTTCACCCATGTGTTTGGATCATAGAGATCCTGCACTGTGCCCTTCTACCCCTACAGGTCCCCTCCTCCTCTTTCCTCCCTACCCTAGTCCTTCCCTAGAATTGGTAGCCTCTATTCTACAGTGAAATTTCAAAGGTTATTCTGATTTAGTTTTGTCTACTCCTTTGTTGTTTTTCATATTCCACATACAGTGAAATCATTTGGTATTTGTCTTTCTCCTGACTAACTTCACATATCACAACCCCTTCCATTTCCATCCATGTTGTCAAAAAATGTCAAATTTCATTTTTTTATAGTTGATTAGTATTTCGTGTGTGTGTACCCCATCTTTTAAATCCACTCATCTGCGATTTGGCACTTAGCCAGTTTCCATAACTTGGTTATTAATAGTGCTACATTGAACACGGGAGTGTATATATCCCTTTGAATTAGTGTTTTTGTTTCCTTAGGGTAGGTACCTGGAGTGAAGTTGCTGGATCGCCTTTCTAATTCTTAAACCTCTTATAATTCTCTTGCCTAATTGCATTAATATTTTCCACTGTAATGTAAAATAACCATAGACAAAGCATCCTTGCCTTGTTCTGTGCCATCAGCTCTTAAAAGACTATATATTAAAGGGCATTTTAAAGGATAGAAATAACTGACAGCAGCCCTCCTGCCCACTTGTAATTATGCATGTGTTTCTCTTTACTGACCTTCTCCCTTTGCAAAGCAGCAGAAGCAGCTCTCCTTCAAAGGCTGCCAGCCTGTGACTATCCAGGCATCTCTTTTAACAAACCTGTCCCTTTCAGGGGCAACTCTTTCAGCCCGCTTGTTTTTGTGCAACTGTCCTTTACTCTTCTCTCCCTTTTTATAATAAATTTGCCTTTTGAGATTAAAAAATAGAAATAACTTCAGCATAAAAAGTTTCTGGATATTTATCTGATGAGATTCTGGTCTACCAATGAAAAAAGTTTTTCAGGAAGGGCAAAATTAAATTTGTAGTAGTTTATTAAAGATATGTATGCTGGGTCCTGTTCTACCTTTTTCTATTTTCTAAAATAATGATTTTGCTTTTTTATTCTTTCATTCACGATTTATGGAATGTCTGCTAAACTACAGACACCATCTTATTCTTTCTCATTTAACTTTTACTATACCTATATGAAGTAGGTATTATTCTCATTTTATAAAAGAAGAAATTAGGGTTTAGAGATGTGAACTTGTAGGGGTTGAACTGCGATTTTCAGTCTGGGTCTCCTTGTTTGAATTTTTCTTATCTTTCATATACCTCTTTCCAGGGGAGTAGAAACTAGAGAGTAACAATAAGTAATTTTTAGAAAGCAACTGTCTTAAACGCCCTTCCCTTCATTAAAGTTATATTGTTTCATCTTTGGGGGGGTCAGTTTTTAGGTTTCTTTAAGTGGGACCTATGTTAGCAGCAAAGATTTTTATTTTTTTAAGATTTATTTATTTATGCATACAAGAGCTGGGGTGTAGGCCAGGGGTGTGGGGGATGAGGTTTCACCAGAGACAGAGTGGGGAGTAGAACAGGCGGACTGACTGAAATATGCTGCTGAGGGGAGCAGCAGGTGAGACAGGAGATGTCTGCTGTGCCAAGTGGGTTAGCTCCCTGGCTGGGGATTGAACACATGATGCAGATAACTTTATAGTACTGAGACTTAATAATCCCTTGCACCACCAGGGAGCCCCTTATCAGGAAAAATTTTAGAGCAATGATCCTTATGTCATCAGAGATTCAAACAACAAAGACTTTCCAGATGATGAACAGTATACCAAGATATCCAGGACCAAGAACAGCGCCTTACATACTGTAAGGACTCAAATAACTAATTAAAATTTATTATATTGTTCTATAATTGCATTACCTGGTTTAATGCTTACAACAATCCTGAAGGCACTTGTATAATTGCCTGATGCATAAAAGATGAGAAAACTGGTACATAAAAGTAAGTTAATTTACCAAAGATCAGAAGCAATAAAGATACTGGAATTCAGATCCCACGTTCTAAACCACTGCACTACAAATCTTTTAAATAAATGAAGTTATGGGTTTATGTAACATGGGGAGTAGTCAACCTCCCAAATCTAAAAGTATAAGCATGATGCTGGTGTGGCTCTGCAATTGATAAAGGAAATGAAGACGCCTTTGCAGTTCAAGAAGAAGGGCACACAAATGCCCGCAATTCTTTGTGTAAATTGCTATGGTAAATATAGGTGGTTTTGTTTTCTCAACATATTGACTTCCAAAACTGTACAAAGTGCAATGCAACTTTAAATATTTAAAGACTAAATACAAACTTTGTATGCTCACAAAGCGTAGGTGTGCGTGTCCGCACGAAGTTACATAACAGGTGCGCAGCAGGCAACGACACACTGGTCTGCATAGCCTTGGAGGCCACCCATCCAGTCACCATCTTCGTGCGGGCAGCCTGGAAGGGTAAGTCCACCGTGCACAGGCGGCCACCGGGCTCGCCAACTGCGCTCTCCGCGACCCCAGGTGACCTAGCATCTCTGCTTGCGTTTTCTGTTTCCGTGCTCGACGGTGCGAAAGTAACGGGTCTGGCTTCACCTGCACGCGCTCAGGAGCTGCCACGTGGCAGACAGGAGACAGCCGGGGGCCCGGCCCAGACGCCAGGCCAACCTCAGACGGCAGAACTAGCCCCAGGCCCGGCACCGGGGCAGCCCCCTGGCTCCGCGCGGCGCTCGGCGGCACACTCGCATCTACTGCGGGGCGGGCGGGCGGCGGAAATCCGCCCGGAGACACGGCACCGCCTACCTCTACCGGCCGCTGCTCGGAAGCGGTGCGCCCCCGCTGCGTCGCGACCCCGCGGGACAGCCGGGTGACGTCAGCCTCGCCCGACTCGGCACAGCCTAGAGGACCTCAAGGCTCCCCCGCCCCCACGCCGCGAGCGTGCCGCGGGGCGGGGCGCCCGTGACGGCCCCCTCCCGCCCGCCCTCATTGGGCCAGGGATTGAGTGACACGCTGGCCCAGCCCCTCCCCGCCCGGGAGCGTGCGGCGGGGCGGGGCGTGCCGGGGGCTCCGGGCGCCGTCCCCATTGGGCCCGCCAGCGAATGACGCGGGACCCTCCCCACCCCTCAGGAGCCGCTCGTCGCCGGCGCCCGCGGCGCTGACGTGTCGCGCGGGCGGGCGGTTTCAGCTCCTCCCCGCGCGGGCAGCCACTCGACGCGGTGACCGAGGGGCGGGGTGGCCGGGACCGGCGCTCCCCCGGCCCAGATCCCGGCCCGCCCCGCCGCCCCGGCCCCCGGATGAGGGTATATATTCAGGGCGGGCGCGGGACGCCGATGAGTGGCCGCGCCGAGGGAGTCGGAGCCGGGCCGAGCCGCCGTCGCGACGAGGGAGGTGAGGGGCTCCCTGCCAGTCACTGTCGCCTGTCCCCCCTCGGGTGGGGCTCGCGGGGGCCGGCGGGCGCGGCGCCTGGGTCCGCGCACACGCGGCCACGGGCACGCACGCGGACGTGGACCCGCGGCGCACGTTTGCGCCCGGCGCCGGGCGCCGCACACCCGCGATCGCGGCTCCTGCCCGGGCTATCCTGGGGGGGCGGGGGGTTTCTGGACCGGGGGCTTCGGAAGGAGAAAGCTTAGGGCAGTGTGTGGAAGCGGGTGGTTGTCAGGTGTTGGGTGTTGACCTCACCTGCATGGGGTGGCACAGGCCTGTCTCACCTGTAGAGAGGGTAGGGACCTGACTCACCTGGATAGGGGTAGAGACCTGTTTCACCCGCAGGGAATTAGAGACCTGTCTCACCTGGAGCGGGGGTGGAGACCTGCTTCACCTGGAGCCGGGGAGGGACCTCGAGGTGCTCAGGTCAGGGCCCAGTGGACAGGGACCAGGCTCGAGGGCCTCCAGTGAGGACAGGTGGTCCTTGAAGCAATCTGGTGAGAGCAAGCTGGGATGTTTGGAATATATGAGAAAAAGAATTATGAGAGCACGCTGCAGAGGGCTAGAAGATACCGGTGGCGGACATGAGAGTGGGACAAAATCTGCTTCCCACTGCGATTTTTCGTTTACTACTGTCAGTGGAGGATTGAAATTTCTGGGTTTCACCTGGTTTGGCCAAGTAGAAGGATGGATTAGAAGATTGGGAACACACATGCGCTGACCATATGGCTTCCTGATGATTGTCTAAATTTGGCCTGATGTTGTTGTGTGTTTATTACGAAATCTGAAACCACTTACTAGTGGTATGTATGTATCATTATATGGTATTTTCAGTTGAAGGACTTTGAGTTGAAATTCACTAGGTGTGGACCAAAGAGTTTGCAGGACATTGAGGGCAGTTTCTGTTCCTTCACTAGTAGTGAGTTGGCTCACTTGGCTGGGAGGAAGGATTTGATAGGCTTTGCTGCCAACCATTTATAGGATTCAGTGGTTGTGGCTTAATTCCAATACTCTTTCTAAAGCTCTAAGAGGTTTACTTATCATTTTGGGGTGCAAACATTTAGCAGCAGAGATAGGAGCAGGCGGAGAGCAGGAAAACTGTATTTCTTTAATATTGTTATTTAAGAATAACAGTATATCAAAAGTGTATTTGACAGTGGTGGATTATTTCCAAATTTTCCCTTGATTTTGACACAGATGCATTAGGCTATGGGTTTACACCAAGCTCTGTCATCATTTTTAGACTGATCTTCAGCTTTTTCAGACTTTGGTCATCACAGTAAAAATCCTGTTTAACTCTCTTAATCACTACTGTGTATCATTACACACAAGGGCATGCCTCATAGCAGAATTAATTGGAGAAATGATATAATTTTTGTGGCCTGGAGGTGGAGGCTATGTCTATCTCAAAAAAAAAAAAAAATCACAGATAAATTATTCTTGTCCGAAACTCAAGCATGGTTATGCTGTGAACACTTTCAGGATATGTAAATGAACAAGTGACCTTTCCAAACGTTTCGGACACCTGTGATCTGTGCCCAGGTAGCAAAGCTTAGCCTTTGAGTTTCCTATGAGTCTTATTTGCATGGATCTGTTTTCTCAAGCATCTGAATAAATAGATACCTATTCACTTTTGGGGAAAATTTGATTTATATCATAAAATGTTATAATACATTTGACATGCCTTTTAGTAGGCAGAGAAATCTCCACTCCAGACTCTCATTTGAAGGTGTATGAGAAAGACTGGTCACAATATCTGCAAGAGGAAATGTATTCACAGGGAGGTGAGAAGATGGCAAGGGTCCAAGAACCAGGAGTTCCTTTTCTTCAGTTGCCTGGTTCTTTGCTGGACTTCCCACTACTATAAACTTCCTTAGCCTGGACAAAAGTAGTAGTATAAAAGAGACCTTGGGAAAGACCCCATTACTTGGAAAACACTTTAGTATGAATCTCTCAACTGTTTTTTTTTTATATGATATATATTTTTAAAATTCAAAAGAAATGGCATCATAGCTCTTGAAACTATTTAAGTAAACAGAAATGTTTTGTAATAACCCAGTGAATGTCTGCAGTTCTGTCTCCTATCTTCTTTGCTTTTGTATTTATCTATACTCTCTTGGGAATGTCAATCAGCCTATAAACTTGTTATGTATGCTGATGACCTTGAAAGTTTTACCTTTAGTTCCAGTATCCCTCTGAACTCTGGAGTACTACATTTTTCTTTTTCTTTGTTTTTTTTAAAGATTTATTTATTTTTATACAAGAACTGGGGTACAGGCCAGATGTGTGGGAGAGTGAGAGGATTCACCAGAGACAGAGTGGGGAACAGAACAGGCAGACAGATGAAATACACTGCTGAGGGGAGCAGTGGGTGAGACAGGAGAGGTCTATCTCGCCATGTGGTTTTTTCCCTGGCCGGCCTGGGATCGAACTCGTGCTGCAGAGGCTGCGGATTGCTTCACAGTGCAGTGTGCAGTGCATAACCCCTTGCGCCACCAGGGAGTCCCTAGAGTACTACATTTTTCTATCTCATCAGTATTTCTATGTGGGTGTCTAATAGGCATCTTAAACTAAATATGACCCAAAGTATTGATTTCCCCACTCTCCATGCATGCTTTTAAATCTGCTGCAATCCTGGTGGTGCCCCAGCTCAGTAAATGGCGCTGTCACTTTCTGGTCATATTTGCTCGATTCATGTTATTCTCTCCACATTAAATCCATTACCTAATCCTCTAGGTTCACCTTTTGAATCCACCTTCACCACCACTCTAAACCACCATCATCTCTCATCTAGACTCTTGTGGGAGTTCCATAACTGGTTTGCTTGCTTCCACTTTGACCTTCCTTAAAATCTTTCCTCCCGCCTTCCCATAGCTGTAGAATAAGCCTTTAAAAACTGAAAGTGCACTACTCTAATCATCTGCTCCAAATTCTTCGGTAGCTTTGTAAACCGCGGAGTCTCTGTCTTGACCCTTCTTGATCTGGTTTCTCTATACTTCTCCAGCATTCTCATCATTCTGCATTGGTCTCTGCTCTACCTTGTATGCCCAAGCACTATCCTGCCTTGGGACAACTGTGCTTATAGCCTCTTCTACCTAGAACATTCCTTTTCAGGTTATTGCCTTGTTTTGCTGCTCTTTTCATTCAGCTGTGTCTCCAAGTGTCTCTATTAGGCCCTACCTGGTTCCCTACCACCTCTCCACACTCCCGCCATCTATAGTACCTACCCACCTTACCCCTGTTGCTCTACAGTCCCTTATTCTACTGTATTTTTCTTCCTAACACTTGTCTCATAGCACTACATGTCTGTCTCTTGTGCTGAAACGTGGGCATACTCATTATTGCTTTGCTTATTGCTATGTCTCTGCCACCTAGATCAGTGTCTAGCATGCAGTGAGTACTCATCATATATTTGTTGAGTGAATAATGGCACATGAAAGTAAATAATTTTCCTTCTTAAATTGTTTACTAATGATATGCAGTATCTTTGCTTAGTAAAATGGATCAGTTGTATGGTGAGGGATGGAAATTAAATTTTCAGTGATGAGCATAATGTGCCATATGCAGATGTTGATATGTAAGTCTATATACATGACACCTATATAATGTTATGAAACAGTGCGACCTTGATAAAATACATAAATAAATAAATAGAAGCCTTTGGTAGTTACCCAACCGTATAAATTTGTGAAAAGGATGGTTGTGGGTTAGTCATCTTTCCACAGAAATAGCAGCAGTTATGAGTTCAGCCTCATCTATGGTTATCTGTTTGTTTCTTGATTACATTTATTTACATTTATTTACATGTTTCATGCTGTTCCCACTGACTGAATTTTCTCTTCATTCCTTGGCAAACTTGTTTCCACTGTCCAGTGCCCAACTCAATAGTTCTCCTCATGACTTGGTGGTTTAAAGCACAAACTTCACTGATATCATAGCAGTTACTGGCAAGTATAGACAGCTTTCTCTGTGCCAGCAACTGTTTTGAATTCCTTTTATTATATGAACTCATTAATCCTCTTAAACTTAGAGGTAAGTATTGGCTTTATTCTTTTACAGGTGAAAACATTTGAGGCACCAGAAAGTTAAGTTACTTGCTCAAGGTCACAAAATTGGGAAGTGGCAGACCTGGCATCCTAACCGAGCCAGTCTGACCCTAGAGTCCAGTGCTGGTTACCAGCCACTATACAGCCTCTCTTTAAATGAGAACTTGGATAGATTCTTAGTGTTTCCTCTGCTCTTATGAGCGATATATTGGTGTATGAAAAGCTCATAGGCATTAGAGTCAGGTTTATCTGTGTTCAAGTTCCTGTTTTTCTACCTACTAGGTATGTAGCCTTGAGCAAATTGCTTAACCTCTTTGAGCCTCATTTTCTCATTGGTTGTAAGGATTTTTTTCATTTCTGCTTATGAAAGAAAATTTTATCATTCCCATTTTACAGATGAAGATATACGGCACAAGCAATAGAGCCAGGAATAAAAGTCAGTTCTGTTTGATTCTAAAAACTGCAAAGATTCCCTTCAAGTTAAGAGTATGAGAGGCAGGCCTTTAAGGATGAGTGGTATTTCAGCAGATAGAAAAAGAAGGGACGTGGATGTAGTGACAAATTAGAACTGTGTCCCACACTATTAATAAGCTTGCATTTTCATTTCATATTTAAGCCTTAATTTGGTGATGAATCATTGGTAGCTCGTAAGATGTATTTTATAGGTGATAGCATTCATTTTTACACTTGAAGTATGCCCTCCCCGAATACTTTATTCAGATATCCAGAATAAAGCAAAAATAAAAATAGGAAATATTACACAATTTTACATGCTAATCTAATTTGAAATTGATTTTATAAGAAGAATCAGGAAGCCAGTCTGTCACTTCAGTTTTGGAAGGCATCTTATTCAAAGAAAAAATATCTAGAATTTTGATGCCTGCCACTGTTGTATGATATCTTTCCTGAATTTATTTTTGAGTGGTTGCAAATTAAAATTATTTCTAACAAATTTCTAATTTGGCTGACATGTCCAATATAGAATAAAAAGTAATAGTGCTTTTTGAAATGAAGTATCTATACATCCTGTAAAGTTCCTCACAACCATGTCCTATGTGTTTTCTTCCTTTTTCCGTCTTACTGGCTTGTGAATTCATTTCTGCAAAGTGAGTTAGAATGAACAAGATCATTCATATCTGTATTTCTGAATAAAGTATGAATAACATGAGTCTCTCTTGCCACCCTCTCTTTAGACACACAAGCACAGAGACATAGTTCTATTTTCCTTGAGAGACCTTCTAGATTAACAGTATAGGTTAAGACTATGAAGTTAGAAGTCCAGGTTGTTGGGGTTTGAATTCTAGCTCTATCACTTTACTAGTTTGAGACTTTGAGCACAAGTTACCTCTTTATCTCAATTTCTTTCTCTCTGAAGTAATTACAATAGCAGTACTTTAGAGTTGTTTTGAGGATTACATTAACAAATATCTCCAAAGCCATTAGAGTTGTACCACCACACCATAGGTGATATGTGAGCAGTAGGTGTCATTGCCACCTCAGGGAACTCAGTTCTCTTTACCTGAGTTTGTAAATTGTGTTTTATATTTATTAGTCCTGATGAGGTAGATACTCTTATTAATCCTGCTTTACAGATGAGGATTTTGATGCATGGGGAAATTAACTTGGCTGAGCTCTAGAGTTTTGCACTGTCCTTTCACCTTCATTTCTTGCACTGTTCTTTGGGTGGGAAGTGATAGGCTCTTTCTTTACTACTCCTGCCTCTCCTCTCCATCTAAGCAGTGACACTGTGGTGATGATGCTGTACGATAACCTCCAAATTGATCCCTTTCTCATTTATTTTCTCTGCAACTTATCATGTAGACCTTTGGTTTTTCATATCTGCAATTGCTTTTAACTTGTTTTCGTGATTCTAGTTGTCCCTCCTTATGATCTGTTTCATGCCATTGCCAAACTTTACTCTTACCCCTCTACAGCATGGTGACACTTTTGAGTCATATCCTCTTGGCTTCCTGTTACTTATTCTGTTAGGTTTCAGTTCCTTTGCTTAGTTTTCAGTACTTTCAATGTTTTAGCCTTCAGGTACATCATACCTTTTCTGCATAAACCTGCAATTCTTTTTCCTGCTTTGCACCCCAGAAATCCACACTCTTCATGGCCACCCACTCTGTGTGTTTCCTAATCTTTTGTATATAATCTGCTCAGTCCTTGAGGCACAGCTGGAATATGCTTCCTTTGTGAACTCTTTCTAGATGACACCTGTCTCCTCTTGCATTTATCTATAATTAGATTAAATATTTCCTTTCTCTTTTTTTGAGCTGTGCTCTTTGTCATTTTGCTTTGTCTTCATTGTTTGCAATTAAAAAACATGGTTTTATCCATTGATTATTATGTGTTTATTGTTCCTTTAAGGTCCTTTTAGGGTACAGTTCTCAGTGAACATAATGGACATGTTTTTATTGTTTCTTTGCAGGAATTGCCATTGAAATAGTTTTCCATAAAGATAGGTGGTCCTATCTCCTTGAATTTTGTTTTGTTCTGAATATAACAGTTATTTTTATCCTTAAAGAGAAGAAAAACAGTTGAAATGTTAAAGTCAGATGTTCTTCCTGTGGTAGCTTAGTGGTCAGAAGAATAATCCAGAGGTGACTACACACAGTTAGTGAGCCCTGGAATCAGACTACTTGGATTCACTGCTCCACTGATTGGCTCAATTGCTTTGCCTTTCTGTGCTTCAGTGCCCTTCACTGTAAAGGAATGATAATAATAATAGTCCCTATGTCACAGAGCTGTTGAAAATTAAAGAAGACCATGGCAGTACAGTATTTACTGCAGTGCCTAGTATTGTGATCTTACAAGTTTTATCTCTTAGAGACACTGTGATGGAAAGGAACTGTTAACATTAATTTCTTGAACATCTAGTGTGCATAATACACTTGTTTTTAGTAGGAAAACCCTTAAGATTGGAGATTGGTCTTTGACCTGCTGTTGATTCCTTTTCTCTTAGGTTTACTGGTACGGAAATTACAGTTCTGTTTTCACCAAGCTTGGCTACCAGAGCATTATGAACACTAATGATCTCAAACTCAGGTTGTCCAAAGCTGGGCAAGACCACCTGCTGCAGTTCTGGAATGAGCTGGAGGAATCCCAACAGGTAGAACTTTATGAAGAGCTCCAGGCCATGAATTTTGAGGAGCTCAACTTCTTTTTCCAAAAGGCCACCAAAGGATTTAACCAGTCCTCTCAGCAAGAAAAAGTGGATGCTCGAATGGAACCCGTCCCGCGAGAGGTGTTGGGCAGTGCTACCAGGGATCAAGATCAGCTCCAGGACTGGGAAAGTGAAGGTATTTGTTCTAAAGTTTATTATGAGAGGCAGTAAATTATTAAAGTAAAACTAGTAATATTTTCACTCTCATACTGCCTTAAACCAGGTAACCAAACAGAAACTGACCAGTGTGTTTCTGAGACCTTTGCAGTGTCTCCCACCATGGCCCCCTCTTTATTTCTGGTGCCTAATTCAAGACTCCTCTCATTCAGGTTTTTAATTTGCTGCTAGTCTTCTTCCTCAATTTTCATGCTTCTACTAGATTTCTCTTTCTGAAGCACAAGTTAAACGTTTCAATTTATGCTGATTAGTTTAAACCCTTCTCTACTATGGCCCTGGCGTATATTTCCTTGTCTCTGTTTCTCTTTACCTCTACCACCCAACATTTCAGCCAGATCAAATAATTCACCTGTCTCTGAACATTGCATTATGCCTTTCCTGCCTTTGTAGGTGTGGTTTGGCCTTTGCCCCTTCTCTGCCTACCTGGGTCACTTTATAGTCCACCTTATTCTGCTTTTTCCTGGAGTTGTGCAAGGCGGTGGCTCTGCTATTTGCAGAACTTACACACTCTTTAAGTCTGATCCATGACCTTTTTCATTGTCCCAAGTTGGAGGCATTTGTCCATGTATTCCTTTCATTTTGCCTTATAATAAGTTATTTATGTCTTCTTTTCATTTTCTATTACCAGTTCTTCACCAGCGCCTCCAGGTCCTAGTTGTGTATGTTACTAGCATTTATATTAGGGGTTGTAATTGTAAGGTGGTCAATAAATGTCTGTTGAATTGCCCCAGTGCTTTTTCTTCTAAAACCTATCATAAAACCTGTCTCCTTAACTAGTATTAGTGTTTTGGAGAATGGCAAAATAGCTAAAATGTGACTGGTTTTTGTAACTTGCTACTCCTCTGAAAGTAAAAGGCTTGAGCCCAGGTCCATGAATAATTATACTTGCTTCTTGTCAACTTGTCAAGACTTGTCATTTCCTCGGCCATGGAATGAACAGACTGGACTAGTGTTTTTCCTTCTTTTTTAAAAGAACGGGAATACAGTAGAGAAATTGCCTGTAGCCTCATCAAATTTGTATTTATTCACATTACCACATAGTACTTGACTATAAATATACATGTTTACTTTTATAAATATGCAATAATATTATAGATATAATCTTATAGTTTATGTTTACATTAAATCATGGCCATTTTTTCTTTTTCTTTTTTTTTTTTTTTTTTTTTTTTTTTAAACAAGTTTTGTTTTTTTTTTTTTTTTAAGATTTATTTATTTATTTATACAAGCACTGGGTACAGTCAGAAGCGCGGGAGGGTGAGAGAATTCACCAGAGCCAGAGCGTGGAGCAGAGCAGGCAGAAGGACCGAAGTACACTGCTGAGGGGAGCAGTGGGCGGCAGGAGAGGTCTGCACGCCATGCGGGACCCTCCTCCGGTGGCCGGGGAGCAGCTGGGGATCGAACCGGCGCCGCAGAGGCTGCGGGCAGCTTCGCAATCCAGCGCTCAACCGCTGCGCCAATGGGGAGGCCCTCTTTTTCTTTTTTGTCTTCTACTCTTGCCATTCCCTCCAACCAAAAAAGAAAGATAGCCATTCTCAACTTTCTGTATACCTCTCCATATCTTTCTCTGATGTATGGAGTTACCAGTTTTCAAACTGTGCTTCAGGAACCCAAGGGATTCCACTGCTGGGGACACTGTCTCATGGGGGAGGTGGAACTACACTAAATAGGCAGGTCTCCAATCCTGTCATTTCCTCCTAGAGGAGCAGTTTTACTTTGACCTGCTTTATATATTTCATGGTTAGGTGAAGTTTTATTTAAAACATGTTGAAGATTATAAAACATTGAAAATAATGGGATAACCATTAAGGAGGGTCCTTTCAGATCTAAAATGCTGGTAGTGGCAAACCTAGCCTCTTTCTTAAAATGGAGACTACAGTGAGAGGGTGACTTCCAGCTGGAGCATCTGAATGAAGGCTTTAGTGATACTGTGCACCCTACTAACTTTGTCCTCATTGATCTTTCTCTTCTTCCTGGGTTTAAAAGAGCTACTGCGCAAACCCAAAGCCACATGCATGGGCATCTTATCAGGTATCCCAGCTGCCTATATTTCTCTTTGGTGTTTTAGGGGATGAAATCTTAGAAGTAACTCTTATGGAAGCCCAAACTTCGTGCTTATATAATGGTAGACTATGAGTAACAATCAAGACCTCTTATAATTTGAGTCTTTTTTTTTTTGGTCTTTGGGAAACTAGTTTATTTTTTTAACCTTTTTTTTGAAGATTATTTATGCATACAAGAGCTGGGGTACAAGCCAGGGATGTGGGGGGTGAGAGGATTCACCAGAGACAGAGTGGGGAACAGATAAGGCAAATTGAATGAAGTAGACTGCTGAGGGGAGCAGTGGGAGAGTCAGGAGAGACCTGCTGTGCCATGCGGGTTGCTCTCTGTCTGCCCAGGGGATCGAACTCGTGCCACAGAAGCTGCAGATAGCTTTATAGGTTGTGTCTTAACCCCTTGCGCCACCAGGGAGGCCTGAAACTAGTTTATATTTATAGCTTTTTATTTAACCTAGAATATGGAACCATTACAACCAAGTAAAGTATAAGAAGGTGCAAATCACACTTCCCTTTGGCTTACTGTTGAAGGAATATTTGTGCCTTTAAGAGCAGGAGTGGAGGAGACTTTCTATTTGACATTATTGTCTTTTCACTTAGCCATGTATTTGCAAATTCATAACAAAATGAAATTTCTACAGTAAGTCGTCAAAGGGAAGAGAATGCAATTGCCAAGATTATGATGCTATATTTCAGATGGAAGAAAGATATTAGTAATTGTATCAAAGGCAGTGTTTGCCTTTTAAATTAAGGAAATAAAAACATTGTATAGTAATTTCAAAGCGTCTCATGGCTATTGATATGATAATGGACATTTTAACACCTCAGGTGGAAAATTATTTCTCAAGGATAAATACATGAGTCATTAATATGCTTCTTGTTAAAGAGAGGTTTGTTTTAATTCTTGAAGTTTTCTGGGCAGTTGTAGAAAAAGGAATATAGAGGAGGATAAAAACTAAAAAATAATCTCTTAAACAGCTAAGATCTTGATGGAGAAGTAATTAGAAGCTTTGGTGAGAATATAATTTTAGTAAAGATCTCATATTGGAGAGCAATGCATTCTTACAGTGAAACAAGTCTTCCAATTTTATATTACAATAAATCAGTATTCAATATTAGCCTTTTTTTTGCTTATGAGACATTTTAAAATTAATCTTAAATGGTGCCTCTTTTATACTCACTGTGATTAAAAAAATGGATTATTTTTAGAAAAAAATGTACTCATAAAAATGTACCACCTCTACATTTTCTGAAATCTAGTTCAGTGATATTTCTGGTGGATATGTTTAAAAAGTGACACATGCTTATTTTAGAGAAGTTGGAAAATACTAAAAATTGCAATAATATCTCTTTTACGCCACAATCCAGAGATATATATACTGACTCGTACTATTTTGTAGTATTCTGTGGCACACATACACACACATTGGGACTGTGTTTTGTGTATAATTTTGTAGTCTGCTTAAACATCTCTTTGCACAAAAAATTTCAGGCAATTTTGAAACAGATATTTACAGAAAAAATAGTATAATGAATTCCCACATGCACATCACCTTGATTAAATGATGATCAAAGTTTCGCTAGGTAGGATTTTTCTTGCTTTTTCTTTGCTGTAGTATTTTAAGGCAAATCGCAAACATCATCTTATTTCTACTTTCATTTCGTTCAGTATGCATCTCTAAGTTAAGGAATTTTTTGTTTCTAATCACAAAGCCATTATTACGTTTACCATTGTATCTAAAACTGATTCTAGTTCACATGGAGATTTCCTTTATTTGTCTGCCCTTCTGTGCTTAATATTTGGGGGACATAGTTAATATATAAAATATGTTTCAACTGTAAAATTGTGACTAAAAATAAAGACCTAAAATATCTCTCTTGAGGGCCTCCCCTGGTGGCGCAGGCGGTTGAGCACTGGCTGTGAAGCTGTCCGCAGCCTGCAGTGCCGGTTTGATCCTGGCTGGCCGGCCGGAAAGGGTCCCACATGGCGCGGCAGACCTCTCCTGTCTCGCCTGCTGCTCCCCTCAGCAGTGTATTTCGTCAGTCTGCCTGTTCTGTTCCCCACTCTGTCTCTGGTGAATCCTCTCATCCTCCTGCGCATCTGGCCTGTACCCCCATTCGTGTATAAAATAAACAAATCTTTTTTTAAAAAAAAACAACTCTCTTGACTAACTAAAATATCTCCTTTGAAGACTTCTTGGGTAGTCTTCTATTTCTGTCAGTTGAATTGCTTGTTTACCCCACTCTTTGTGGAATGCCAATAACCTGAATGGAAAGTTCTGGCATTGCTCTACTTCAGCTGTACGTCTGCTAGCCTCCTTGCTTCAGGTACAAGCCCAAGTCAAAGAGTAGGAGAGGAATTAGTCCAAGCAGGAAGTCATCCAGGAAGAATATGACTCATGACAGGCTGCTGTAAACTCTTACTTTGCTTCTCATAAATGTTATCAGGAAAAGTGCTTGTGGATCTGCAAAGCATGACTCCTTCTCCAAAGGAGATAGATATACTCCCACCCTGGAAATGGCTCGCTCTGGCTTGAATTTTTTATTTTTTTTATTTACCTTTGATTTGATTTGTGTTGAGGTCCCATCTATAAGAAAGTTATTAACTCTTTTGTCATATGATGAAAAGATGTAAAAGATGATACAGTGAGGTACTTTCGGGTTTTTAAGTAATGGTAATTTTTTTTTTTATTAATTAACTTTTTTTTCTTATATCGTGTAGTCCTCATAGTTCTCCCACCACTGTATCACCTGTGGACTATCACCATATTCCCTGTGTTCATCCTGCCCTGTTTTGTAACCTCTCCCACCCCCTGCTTTGCTGTGTGCCTCAGTTCTATAGTTAGCTTGTGAGTTTTGACTTTTTTTTGACCTTTTGTTTGGTTTTTCTATATTCCACATATAATTGAGACCATCTGGTATTTATCTTTTTCTTTCTGACTAATTTTGGCTCACATAATCTCTTCCAGCTCCATTCACATTGCTGCAAATGACATGAGTTTGTCTTTTTTGATCACTGAGTAGCATTCCACTGTATAAATATATCACAGCTTTTTGATCCATTTATGCTTTCAGGTTTTCCTCTTTGCAGAAGAAATTTGGAAAAGAAGTTCATACTTCCTAATTTCACTTGGGTTTTGCATATTTAAAATTAGTTTATATTTTTCATATAGGTGTGCTGCTGCCCATGTAAAATTTATGTTATGACAAATCATGTATTGAAATCATCTATTTCATTGTTTGAAATCATGTATTTTGCAATATAACTAAAAGACTTACCAAATTTTATTGGTACTCTTAATTTCAAGCATTATTTTATCTGTCATTGTAAAACAGATATTATTGTAGTTACACAGATGGAATAGGTGTGTTTCAGCCAGTGTACACACATTTGATACTGTTAACAACAGCTGTAGCTACATTTAGTTCTTGAATTGCAGCTGGTCTTGATACTCCAGGGACTACTTTCTTTCCTCTTGTTTTTCTCTCTGCTCCTGAGTAATATGCAGGAAGTTAATGCAGAAACCTTTTACTTGCAAATATATATGGATTGTGTTATAGCTCATAGTATATTAGTAGCTAAATGGAGAGGAGATGTAAATGTAGATCTGCTGCCTGGGGATGGACACCTGGCAGGTATTATCTCAGTGCTGCTCTGAAGATTTTATGATCAAGTGAATAATCAGGTTCACAGGTGGAAAGAAAAATTGAAGAAAATATGACAGACAGGGAGTTAGGAAGCAAACACATGCCTTTTATTTGAATAAAGAATGAAAACATTACGGGTAGCAAAGCTTCAAAACAGAAAAATTTGGAAAACCAGAATGAAGTATTAGTCAAGGGATCTGATCCAAGGAAGAAGGGTTTATACAGCTATCTTAGATAACTGTTTAGAACCTGTGGAGAGCACCAATTGGTGTTAATGGTAGTCGGGGAACAGGATCCGAGATACAGAGCTGGCGTTGGGAGTGTTGCTCTTATCTTTTATAAGAGGAAAGGCAGCTGAGGGAAATCACTTACTTTTGGACTGAAGGTAAAATAAGATGTCAGGAAAGAGTAACTAAAGCCACATTAACAGAAAAACAAAACACACATACTTTATGAAAAAATAAATAGTATTAAAAAAAGGCTTCTCCGTCCAGAAAATTTTCTTGCGACTTTTTTGGAACACATTTAGAAATATTCCTCATTCTAACACTTTCGGTGGTATGCAATAGTCCAGAATGTTTAGTTTGTTTCCATTTGGCTTTTAAATCCTACTTGAATTTATTTTTAGTCAGAATATTTTTTATTCAAGTATTATGTTTGGTTATTACTTACTGCTAATATTCAGCTTGTGGAAATTAAAGGCTTCCATGCAGAAATAAATCAGCAACAAAGACTGAGCCTAACAACCTTCTGAACTACTGTAGATGGCCCATTAAAAAAAAAAAATCATTTAAACACTTTTATTGAAATACAGTTACATACAATAAAATGCACTAGTTTTATGTGTTTTTGAGAAATATATATGTATATATATAAAACCATGTAACTACCACCCTTAAACAAGATGTAGAACATTCCCATCACCCCACAGAGTCTCTTAATGCCCTTTGCAGGCATATAACCTGAACTTATTCAGTTGAGTTGGATTTTAGACCAGACCAGGTGTTGTGACTTCAGAAACTAGCTGCTTTTTTTTAAAGATTTATTTATTTATTTATTTATACATGCACTGGGTACAGTCAGAAGCGCAGAAGGGTGAGAGAATTCACTGGAGTCAGAGGGGGAACAGAACAGACAGAGTGACGAAATACACTGCTGAGGGGAGCAGCGGGAGTGGCAGGAGAGGTCTGTTGCGCCATGTGGACCCTGGGACCCTCGCTGGTGGACTGTTGTACCACATTGCTTTTCTAACTGACAGCTGCTTTTCCTTACATTTACTGGAGGCTACCTTGTCTAGTATGTTTGTATGTTTATTAGTTAATTATTTTTGATTGATTCATAGGCTGCAGGTAATTTAACAGCATCATCATTCATCCTAAAGCCCTGGTACCTTTTATTGTTTTCCTTGGCTTACCATATCTAAGAAGTAGTCAGGTACTTGCAAAACATTTGTAATGTCTCATGATCCTTGCATTCCAATCTTTTTAGGAAAAAAACTTTCATTTAAGAAGTATATATCATACTTCGTTTGGTGCTTAGTTGGGTTCTATACATTATAATTTTTAATAATGAAAATGTTTTTTGTTAACAAGAATGGCATCCCTGATTCTGTATAGAGTCCTGGCTCCTTACACAGATAGGGTGAGTCTTTGCTCCTGCCTTTGTAAATGCAATCCTAAAATGCTTAATTATAAGTCCTATAAGTGGTTTTTTTTTTTCTTTTTTCTTTTCTAGGACTTTTCCAGATTTCCCAGAACAAAGTGGCAGTTCTTCTTCTAGCTGGTGGACAGGGGACAAGACTTGGTGTTGCATATCCCAAAGGGATGTATGATGTTGGTTTACCATCCCACAAGACACTTTTCCAGATTCAAGCAGAACGTATCCTGAAGCTCCAACAATTAGCTGAAAAATATCATGGCAACAAATGCATCATTCCATGGTAAGATATATCTCATGGGAGAGTGTTTGAACATGTATTAGTTTATAATATTTGAGCAAATATTTTATTCACAGGCAAAAATATTTCCTTTTTTTGGAGATGTAGCATACTATAGATGTTAAAAGTGATACATTTAATAACTAAATCACTATAGCTTTAGTGAGCAGTATTATTACTCATCTGCCCTTTCTGCATGCCTGCTTGAATACCTTTGGATAGTCAGTGGATTCACTCAGTCTGGAAGCTACATTGTGGTGGATAATTTGAGTGTAGACTTTCTGATAAAAGTCAATTTCTGAAATATGAAGATATTACTCATTTTCAGCATTGCTGTGGTAAGACCCTATACCATTCTGATTCTCTTCCACACCCCACCCTTTTTTTTTTTAACCCTCTCTCAAAGCATTTCAGGGTCTTTTATCTGTAGTATCAGATATTTCATGACAGTGTGGCTTGGCTCTATGTTCAGTCACTGCTTTGAGCGCCCAGTGGGTTCTCTCCATCCTGAAACCTGTACCCTTATGTGTCAGGTGATCTCACCCTCTGTAACCCACTCCTCCACATTCCTGAAAGCTCCCACTGATTTTTTTGCTGTGAATAGAAGGGATTCTCAGTCACTGGTAGACTGAGTTTTCAGGGACTGCCTCGACCAGCATGTGTCTCCTAAGCACAAGAGATTATGGAAATTCTGCTCTGCTTTTTAATAGTTTTTGCTTTAGCTTTTTAATCTATTTCCTAGGGCAGGCTTGGAAGAATGTTTTGAGGGGGAGGCCAGCTATGTATTTGAGATCCCTCACATTTCTAATCTTGTTTTCTCAGTCCCACATGAACAACAAAAGCTCTGCTTTATTTAAGCATTATGTTTGGTAACTACTTATTGCTGAATTTTCAACTGGTAGAAGGTTCTCTGTCCTCTGCCTGGTCCAAGTCCTGCTTCCTGTTCACTAGCTTGTATCCCAAATCATCAGGCACCCAAGGGAAAGGCAGCTGCATAGCCCTAGCTGTCTCTGAAAGATTCTTGCTGTCTTGAATTTTAGTTCCATCCCACTGCTTCTGTAGCTCTCTGATGCCTTTAAAAATAGGCTTTTTGTAATTCCCCCAGCTTTGCTAGCCCTTCTCAGACAAATGTTGGCCTGCTGTGAATTGTTTTTTCATCTTGATTCCAATAGGGATTTCTAAGGGACATCTGTGTTCTGAGTGCCCAACATTCTATTTGAGCCCTGTCCTCCTCCTGTCATGTTGGCTTTTCTTCTCTTTCACATCATAGATCAGTTTCTGTTCTCATCTTATGCAGAACAGTTTAGTCTCCTCTTTTGTCGTCTTCTAAATTATGCCCAAATCTTTTTTACCAAAAGGCAAAGTACCCAGGATAATTTTTTAAACAGACAGGTATTTACTGTGGTGGGGAATTATATCATTTTCTCTATTTATGCATTCAGCACATATTAAACTCAGCACTTGCTTCAAGGTGCTAGGATGCCTCAGTAGCCAAAATAATTTGACAAAAATCTCTGCTTATATATCGCTTATATCTTGCTAGGGTAAAAGCTACTGCAGTTTTAGATATAATCTTTTTTTTCCTTTTGCCACATTGGCGTGTGTTGAATTTTTGTGACAACAAAGAGTGTAATTACATTGTTATGATTTCTTTTTTTGTGTGCGGAAGAACTGGGGTGTAGGCCAGAGGTGCGGTGAGTGCGGGGAGCAGAACAGGCAGATCCACTGAAATACACTGCTGTGGGGAACAGTGGGCACAACAGTGGGCACTACACTATATGTGTGTTAGCTTGCTGGCTGGGGATTGAGCCCAGGCTTAGACTTAACCTGGCGGCCACCAGGGAGGCCCCTATATGGTTAATGATTTTAAATGGAGATAGAATAGGGCCTAGACTCCATTTCAGAATTTTAACATAAAGAATCACAAGAGATCATTAGAACATTTTGCAGGTATCCTTTTCCCCCTGTTTATTTAGGAGTTTTTAATTTAGAATACAAATTTTGTAGAGTTCTGAAATGTTTACCTAAGATAGTTATAGAATCTCTGGAGGAGGTATGTTTAATATTGGTACATAGATTTAGCTTAACTTAAAAAGACTGATTAAGTAACTGGACAAAGTTCCCCTTGGGAAGCAGCTGATGCCACCTTACTGGGAAAAGTATGAAGAAAATCTAAACTTGAAGTGGTGCTCTCAAATTTTCTTTAGCATAGGAAATAGATGCCCCTTGATATTTATGTACTGCACATGGCCCTATTGCTTAGAAGATCTGTTTTTCTCTTGCAAGGTATATAATGACCAGTGGCAGAACAATGGAATCTACAAAGGAATTCTTCACAAAGCACAAGTACTTTGGTTTAAAAAAAGAGAATGTAATCTTTTTTCAGCAGGGAATGCTGCCTGCTATGAGTTTTGATGGGAAGGTTATTTTGGAAGAGAAGAACAAGGTTTCTATGGCTCCAGGTTTGTAACCATGCTTTTTTTTTTTTAACGGTGACTACAAAAGCTAATAATGTAAATTATTGAATTTCACTTTTCTTTTTCGTTGGGTGATTTTGATGCTAGAAAGTAATATTAAATTTTTTTTTCTTTGAAATATGGCAGTGACTTAAAAAATATGAAAATTCTCATGGGTGAAAGAGTTAAGTTTTTATACTTTTTTAAGAAAAGATTTGTTTATGCATCAAGAACCGGGGTACAGGCCAGAAGTACAGGGAGTGAGAGGATTCACCAGAAACAGAGTTGGGTACAAAACAGGCAGACTGACTGAAATACACTGTTGAGGGAAGCAGCAGGTGAGACAGGAGATCCTGCTGCACCATGTGGGTAGCTCCCATGCTGGCCTGGGATTGAACTCGTGCTGTAGAGGCTACAGCTAGTGTCACAGTGGATACTTAACCCCTTGTGCCACCAGGGAGGCCCAGTTTTTATACTTTTTGTAGGTATCTGCCCCAGAAAGGAGTTTGAGCAGAGTGAGAAAGTTCATTTTCTTTACTCAGTGTTTAATATGCAGTAGTGTTTATGGCTATATTCTTTATTGTAGTAAAAAGTTGGAAACCATTTACTGTTTAAATAGAAGACTAAATTATAGTTTATTGTAGAAATAATTCCTAGGTACCATTAAAGTAATTGTTTAAAGACATTAAGTGGCAAGAGAAATCATTAGGGGAGGTTAGTAAGGGAATGGGAAATACAAAATTCCATCACAGTATAATTAGAGTGTAGCTTTACACCGTTCAGGCATTGCTTCCACACTAGCTTGTTAATGGCATCCCTAGGATTGGGCAGTGTCCTGCCTGGGTTACCACATACAGTGACTCTGCATACCAGTCAACTAAAAAGGAAAGATGTTCACAAATTCATATCTGCATGGACCTTTACTTGGAGGAAAGGCTAAAAGGAAAAGACAATAGTGTTACCGTTGTGCTCTACCAATACAGGCTTTTTATTTTATTTTATTTTCTATTTAATTATTTTAATTTTTATTTATTTTTTTTTAAGATTGATTTATTCATGCATACAAGAACTGGAGTACAGACCAGAGGTGTGGGAGGTGAGAGGACTCACCGGAGACAGAGTGGGGAGCAGAACAGGCAGACTGATGGAAATACACTGCTGAGGGGAGCAGTGGGTGAGACAGGAGAGGTCTGCCGTGCCATGTGGGTATCTCCCAGGCTGGCTGGGATTGAACCCACACTGCAGAGGCTGCAGACAGCTTCACAGCGCTGCAATCAACTGCCTGAGCCAGCAGAGAGGCCCTATTTAATTCTTTTTAAATGGAAGAATTTACTGTTCTTAGCTCTACTTTATGAAATTGTCTAATTTTTTTGGTCAGCTTTTTAGCTGTGGCTGAGGTGGTTGGTGGAAGAAATACATTAAAACAGCACTAAAGATAGATAGGAAAGTATAAATTTAGCTTAAATTAATATAGACCTTCATATTAATCTGGTTTCTTATCATATGATGTGGTATAAAATGCTCATATATTTTTATTTTTGACATAAATGAAATTGTCAATGTTGGATCTGTAAATACAGAGCTAACTTGAATCAAACAAATGTTATTATCAAATGTTATAAAATAAGCATTGTCTAATAACGACTTTTATATTTCACAGTATCTTATAGTCTAACTTGTTAAAAGGACTGAGTTAAAAAGAAAAGTCTGGGCTTTCTGGTTGCCTGGCCCCACATTAATAGGGTTATTATGTGAATACTTAAGCTAAATTATCTTCAAAACCATGTAGTATACTTTTTGATACCTTTCATTTTGTGTATTTCGTTTTCTGGCCCTGATATGTGAAACTGTTTCTCAGAACTCTTTCGTTTGGAAACATTACGCAATTTTTGGTTAACCTTCATAATGGGTGTTGGTGTGATGCTAATGGCTGTTTGCTTTCCTAGATGGGAATGGCGGTCTTTATCGGGCACTTGCAGCTCACAATATTGTGGAGGATATGGAGCAGAGAGGCATCTGGAGCATTCATGTCTACTGTGTTGACAACATCTTAGTAAAAGTAGCAGACCCCCGCTTCATTGGGTTTTGCATTCAGAAAGGAGCCGACTGTGGAGCAAAGGTAATGGTTCTTCTCAACTCCAGCAAGGCTTTACATGAAACGTATCCATTCCAAGAGTCAAACTTGATCTGTTAGGGTATCTGAATATTTTGTAACCATCCATCTCTTTAAAGTCACTAAGCTACACCATATGTGTTTTCCCCCCCTTAAACTGGTAGCATTTGATTCTAGAAATAATGCACATTTATCCATTACAAGTAAGAGATTAAACTAGGTAAGGATGATTTGTATCTGAGAAAATGAAAGTGACATCATCATTAGACCTGCAGTGGATTCATTAATACCAAGTTGTTATTTGATCCAGTTAACCCAGCTTTTTCCTGTGACAAAGTTACTGGAGAAGTAGGTACAAGAAATATTGTAGAAATAGCAAATTTAGACTTTGGAAGGCCTCTCATGATAGTCTTGTGAATAAGATGGAAATAGATTTGGAGATTAGCACAATTTAAAGAGATTGACAGCTACTTGAATGTCCACAGATATACTGACGTTAAGATGCAGGAAGGTTTGTAATGCCATATGGCAAGTCTTTGACCTTGATGATGTTCTTTTCAACATTTTTTAGTTGCGTAGATGATGATATAGAAGACTTGCTTTTGTGGTAGCAAACAAAATGCATTTTGAGGAATAAAATGAACAGAAAATGTGAAAGACCTAGAAAACACACTGGAAGATTTAGAAATATTAATGTAAATATTACTTTCCATGAAATCCTTAAAAGCATCTGTTTCTCCCCCCAGCTTAAAGTATAACACAATTCTGATCAACATTCCAATGAGATTATTTTGGGGACATTTGACAAAATGATTATAAAGATGGATAGGGAATTGTTGGTAAAGGTTGATCTTAAGGAGGAAAGGGTATGGGTGGAGATAGTCTAGCAGATATTAAAATGAATTTAAATAAAAAGTAAGTAGGAGGATAGTCCTGAGACCAGAATAGAATGTCAAATTAGGAGGGCAGAGTAGCACAGTCAGAAGGAAAAATCCATGTACATAAAAATATACTGTATAGAGATACAGAATATAGATTCTATGGAATATAGAATTCAGATGAATTCTAAAGTTAAATATTAAAAAATGAATATGGTAGAATAAAATTTAGAATAATTTTATAATATAGATGTGAAAGGAAGACCTTTCTGCTAAAAGCAAAAACATACAAGCTTTGGATAAAAACAGATATATAAAAATTTGAAATACCAAGGTTTAGAAGAATCCTGCCATGAGATACATGCTATATTGTTGGTTGGATATTTCCCCTATAAAAAAATTCGTGTCTCTCAAAATTCATTTATAAATCTAAATACAAACTCATAGACAGAAGCTGAGTCTTAAATTTGCGTGTCTAAAGTTTTCAGAAATGAAGCTGATAAACCTAATAAGATTCTTCTTGACTCTAGGAATAAGGAACCTGGTTTATTCCATCTATTGAAGACCTCTGTCCAATAATCTATGTGTATCTGTACTGCATTATATTAGCTACTAATAGTAATAGAAAGTATATTGGATTGTAAATAGCATCTAAACTTTAAAAAAAAAAAAATGACAATTTATTTCTGACTTTTTTCCACTTGGTGTCACTCTTTGTTCTAAAACAAGCACTTCTTTTTATTACTCTGAGTTTCAGAATCATTTTGAATTCTGTATGATCAGATTGTTGAACCTGGAAGGGAACTCAAAAATTATCCAGTAACTTGGGCCTCAGCAATGAGAGAAATGAGCAGTTTGAGTTCCATTACTAATTAAGTTCCAGACCTAAGGTTCCCATCATTAGCATTACCAGAATTAGAATTCATAATCTTAGTATTATATCACATTACAAAATCAAACTCTTAGCTTAATTGTGTTTTTTTTTCCCTGTCAAAAATCTTTACATTGGTGCACTAACCTTTGAGTATACTAGTCACACAGAGATGGAGTGTATCCTATAATTTTTCTCTGCTGGAGGTCCTCTGGGACAATTTCAGTCTCAGTCATGGTGATTTTGTGTCTGGCATATAATGAAGTATCACTCGTGTGAATGAATAAATCTTTAGATAGAACTGAAATATGACTGGGTTGATATATATTAAAAACTTTTAGGATAGATAAAAACTAATTATGTAATCTCTTCTCTTACCCTTTTTATTTTAATAAAGACCCAAGATATTGAAATATGTATTTTAAAACACCTAAATTAAGGAGTGATTCACAGTGTACAAGTGGAATTCCTTGCAGTACTTCTTTTTTTTTAAAGATTTATTTATTTATTTATACAAGCACTGGGTACAGTCAGAAGCACGGGAGGGTGAGAGGATTCACCAGAGCCAGAGGGGAGAGCAGAGCAGGCAGACTGACGAAGTACACTGCTGAGGGGAGCAGCGGGCGAGGTAGGAGAGATCTTCCGCGCCATGTGGGACCCTTGCCAGGGGCCGGGGATGGAACCAGCGTTGCAGAGGCTGCAGGCAGCTTCACAACCCAGCGCTCAACCGCTGTGCCACCAGGGAGGCCCCCTTGCAGTACTTCTTTAATGGACTTTTGTCCTGGCGAATTACATATTTTTTAAATATTTTATAAAATTCTTACATCATTTTTCATCTTTACACAATGTATGCATTTTCATTTTGGTTATATTCCCCATACAATTGCACCCCCTCCCCCTTATTTTGACTCTAGTCCTTCCTCTCCCTGCCCCTCTTTCCCACCCCCTTCCCCTAGTGTGTCTCTGGTTTATAGTTGCTTGTTGATTTTGATTTTTACTTTGTATTGATTAGTCTTTTTCCTGGTCTCTTATTTAGGTTTTCTAAATTCCTGCTATGAGTGAGACCAATCCAGTATTTTTCTTTTTCTCTCTGACTTATTTTGCTGAGCATGATCCCTTCTAGCTCCATCCATGTTGCTGCAAACTGCATATGTTTATCTTTTTTTGATTGCTGAGTAATATTCCATTGTGTATATATACCACATCTTCTTGATCCAGTCATCTATTTTTGGGCATTTGGGTTGTTTCCATAGCTTAGCTATTGTAAATAGTGCTGCTATAAACATAGGCATGCAGGTGCCCTTTGGAATTAATGTTTCTGTGTCATTTGGGTAAATACCTAGGAATGAGATTGCTGGATCATATGGAAGCTCCATCTTTAGCAGGTTGAGGAATCTCCACACAGCTCTCCATAGTGGTTGGACCAGTTTGCACTCCCACCAGAAGCGCAGGAGAGTTCCTTTTTCTCCACAACCTCACCAACATTTGTTGTTGCTAGTTTTTTTAATATGTGCCATTCTCACTGGTGTAAGATGGTATCTCATTGTAGTTTTGATTTGCATTTCCCTGATTTCAAGTGATGTTGAACATTTTTTCATATGCCTGTTGGCCATTTGCATATCCCCTTTGGAGAAGTTTCTTTTTAGCTCTTCTGCACATTTTTTGACTGGATTATTTTCTTTGTTTCTGTTGAGTCTCAAATTACGTATTTTTATATTTTATAGGGAGAGAGCCTTGAGAAAAAACTTAAAGAGCCAGTCGTTTGCAAAAGTACAAAGATAAAACATAGGAACTATTGTTAATTAAAAAACAGTTTGTAAAACAGCTACCTTCACTTTGAGGTTAAATGTTATCTTGAACTCAACTTTTCAGGATTTAACTTGTGGAAAACTGAGCAAACCTCTCAATTTTACACTGTATATATTATGAAATAACCCCAACTTAGTGCAGTTTGCAACTGTTTTCTTTTATAATCTAGACTTTTATATATTTGGAGGTGCACAGTTGTTGTAGATGTAAACCTTTCACTAGCAGAATAACACTTGTGCAGTGTCAAATATGAATCTGCTTATTATTTACCATTGACTGGTTGGGAGTAGGGATATATAGAGGTGACTGGAAAATGAGCCGTGAGAGAGCGAGAGAGAGAGAGAGAGAGAGAGAGAGAGCGAAAGAGAGAGAGATGAATGGATTGAGCGGATTCCACCCTAAATTCTCTACCTAGTAGGATATGTACCATAGTGTATATGAAGTGAAGGTGGTAATGGATTGATAAATGGGAGTTGCAGATACGCCCATGGCTGACTTAAATAATTTTGTTGTATGATGTTTCCCTCCAGTTTGATTCACTTCCTTGGTACAGAGTTTCTTTCCCATGAATACTGTGCTTCTTTCAGGATGGTAGACAGTGAAGCTACACAGCCGGCTGCATGTCCTGTAGCCCTGCGTCAGAGCTAAACTAGGTGCCTGTATCTGTAATTGCTACGTAAACCAACTTCTCAATAGTGCTTTTAGAGGTCTGAAAGAAACTGCTACTGTGTTTATTTTAAGAAATCAGTTGCTGGAGAAATTTTTAATTTTATTGATATAATTTCATGTATATTTAGGATAGACTTTTCAAACTGGGGATAGATTTTTTTTTTAGAATATTCTGAAGCATGCTGAATTGTTAATAGAACAGGACAAATAAAACAGTATCTTCAGATAGCTTTTATTGCTTGATTCTCTGTTGAATATTCATCTTGAGTTTAATTGTATATTAGTGTGTCACATGCAGTTCTTTGATAATTTCCTTTTAAGCATTTAATTTAGGTCCCTGATATATAGGATTAGGATGTTGAGGTATCAGAATCACCTCTGAGGTGTCCAGAACAATTACATTGTCACATTTTTCCTCAGTTTCAATGTATACCTTTCTTTCAGCTCCCCCACCAGCCTAGACCCATTCATAGATTTTCAAATCATTGGCTTTCACACTTTTTTTAAAAAGCATAGCATCTCTTACTTCAAACAAAAACTTATTTTCAAAGCAGATAAATCTGAGCAGGCTTCCCTGGTTGGAGAGGCAGTCGAGCCCCGTGGCCTGCCTGCCTTAACACTCCGCCCACCTCCCAGCCATAGCTCAGAAAAACAAGTAATATTCTGTATTCATGAATAAAAATGAAGTACTTTTTTCAATGAATTAATGATTTGGGCATAAGAAAATGAAACAAAATACCTTTTTTTGGTCTTGTAAATTTCAGTTATTCTCAAAGTAGTTGAGTGTGATTAAAGATAAATTGATAAAAATAAAAGAGATCTGGGGAATGTAGACTCCTCATTTAATTATTCCCACTCCAATGTGATGTGTGATGGATTTTCTATCTGTATTATAGTTAGATAATAAATAGGAAGGAAACAAATTACCTCATTCGTATAAATGAATAAGTATGTCAAAGAATATAAAGATGACTAGGTCATTGCCTAAGGTTAACGATTTCCTTTTAAGAACAGTGTAAGCCAAATTGTAAATGTAGCCTTTAAAAATGACAAATCTCCAGTGTAACATTGATTAAACTTCCTCCTCTACTGTTTTTTCTTTGTGAGCAGGTAGTAGAGAAAACGAACCCTACAGAACCAGTTGGAGTGGTTTGCCGAGTGGACGGAGTATACCAAGTAGTAGAATACAGCGAAATTTCCCTGGCAACTGCCCAGAAACGAAGCTCAGATGGACGACTGCTATTCAATGCTGGGAACATCGCCAACCACTTCTTCACTGTCCCGTTCCTGAGAGATGTTGTCAAGTATGGACAAGATGGGGACTTTTACATTTTTACTTTTTGTTAATCAGAAACTGAGTCACTTGAGAAGTAGGCAGACATCCCAAGTTCATATCCCACAGAATTCATCATCTTTCCTGAGGATCACCTTTAGCAAATGAATTTTATGTGTCATTTTAGTTGTGTTTAATAAGCTATGTCATAGGATTAGGATCAGGAGGACCCATTCCCAGTACATTAACTGAATTCCAAGCAAAGCATTCCTCCCTTTTCTTTACCTCCTTCAGGTGTTCTTGATTCTGGTGTAGCAAAGTGTAAGAAATTAAGTGGCCCCTCTTATCACAATTGGAAACTTTATTTTTTTTTTTTTAAAAAGATTTTATTTATTTATACAAGCACTGGGTACAGTGAGAAGCACGGGAGGGTGAGAGAATTCACCAGAGCCAGAGTGGGGAGCAGAGCAGGCAGAGGGGCAGCGGGCAGCAGGGGAGGTCTGCATGCCATGTGGGACCGAGCAGCTGGGGATTGAACCGGTGCAGCCGAGGCTGTGGGCAGCTTCACAACCCGGCGCTCAACCGCTGCGCCACCGGGGAGGCCCACAATTGGAAACTTTAAAACGAAGATGTCTGCCTGACATCTGCAATCAGAATTTCTGTAGGTAGCTACAGGCATCTGCTTTATTAAAATGCTTCCCACACTATTTAATTCAGCTGGTTGCCAGGCTAACATTTAGGAACTAGTGCATTGGAGAATAAAGAAAAAAGAACTTAAGACCTGGGTGAAAATAAGCATGGGAATGCTACTAAGGCTAAAGTAACTGTTTATACCTGCCGATTCTTAAATGAGGGAGATTCCTACTGAGTCTTCACTTCATAGCCTTTGCACACTTAAAAATGACTATTAACTGTTTAAAACATTACTCATTTTTGCTTTAGAAAATCAACTCCAATACCAAAGTAGTTCCCATTTCACTGTTTGTGGCTGTGTTATTCATTCATAATTCATAGTTATTATTAATACTTATATTTCCATTCCATACTTGAAGGGAATCTCACTTGGGAAAGTTGGGCAAAGAGTAGAATATTTTATAAAAGACCTAGAAATTTTAGGAGGGACATTAGTGTGAGCTGTGTGTGTGTGTATTTTTAAATTTAATAAAATGTTTAAAACAATAATTTATATAATTATTTGATTATTTTTAACTTAAGGGGATAGAGAAATCTACTGTATATTTAAATATGAACTGAAACTTAAATTCCTTTTCTTTGAAAATCTTAGTACTGGTAGTTGATGCATTTACTCCTGAGTATGATTATCAGATTGTCTGGTTTTTTTATATTTGGAAAGTGATTATCTTTTTTTTCTTCTCCCTCCTTAGTGTTTATGAGCCTCAGTTGCAGCACCATGTGGCTCAAAAGAAGATTCCATATGTGGATTCCCAGGGGCAGTTAATTAAACCAGACAAACCAAATGGAATAAAGATGGAAAAATTTGTTTTTGATATCTTCCAGTTTGCAAAGTATGTTTTGAATTGCACCAATATGATTAGATGTATGTCTTGAAGGGTTGCTTTGTATTCTCTTTAGGCAAAACTATTTTCAGGAAATGTTTGCTAGCACATAAGTCAGGTCATTTTGATTGTGTGTTGTCTAGGTTCATCATCATTATCTAGTGTGAAGAGGTTGAGATAAAGAATTGGCCTGTCTTGTGTTTTAGGATATCTTACTGATGAGTAATGATTCTGTAAGCATAATAAGATTATATAGCTCTCTGTAAAAGTTCATGTTAGATGTTGAGACACATGTTACAGAATTTGACCAATATGAAAATGAAGAAGACAAACTAGCTGTGTTAGATTCTCTTACCATATATATTTGTAAGTTGTCTCTTTGCCCGTTTTTGTTTTTTTTTTTTCCTCCCTGGAACAGTTATTGTGATCTTTTTTTTGCTTTAAGATTTATAATGTTGCTGAGCTAAGATGAAGTGTTTTATAGGTGAGGGTATAAAATATTTCTTATTTTGCATTGGAGAATTCTAACTTTATGTAGTGCAGGGATGAGTGGTATTGCTTTCAGCATTCATATAAAATTGGATTAAGACAGTCTGTTATTGAAGACTAAAAGCCTACTTCTGAGGAGAGGAGTCAAAGCTGTGTCTGCAGTTTTATATCACCATACAGCAGCTTTTGTATGTCTCCTCTCTAGGAAGTTTGTGGTATATGAAGTATTACGGGAAGATGAGTTTTCCCCACTGAAGAATGCAGACAGCCAGAATGGGAAGGACAACCCCACCACTGCAAGGCATGCTTTGATGTCCCTTCACCATTGTTGGGTCCTCAATGCAGGGGGCCACTTCATAGATGAAAATGGGTCTCGCCTTCCAGCAATTCCCCGGTAAGTTGGTATTTCTTTTTTTGTGCATGAATGATTCCTTGGCTTTTCCTCTTGGACTTCTTTTTCTTCTTTTTAATGTATTCATTCCTAGAACTTTTTGGGAAAAAAAAAAAAAGTTGATGTGGGCAGTGTCTGATGTGAAAAAAGCTTTGCCCATCACAAAGAAAATGATAGCTTCACTTCTTAAAGAGGAATGAATTCTAAATTTCTTGTTGTCTGGATACAGATCCATTATATGAGTGGGTGTGACAGAAGGATAATGGTCAGAAGGTAGTTCTTCTGCTGTGCCAAATGGTTAAAGCCCACCAGCAACCACTGTGCTGCTGTTCCTGTGGTGTGAACCTCACAGCTATGAGGATTGGGTGCTGCTGCCCTTTTATCTGTGATGCTTACTATGAGCTTTCCAAAAAAACCCATCACCCACATGCTCCCTGCAAGATGTAAGCCCACCATACCTTCTCACCGGGACACTTTCAGGTCTCTGAGGGAGGTGCTGGTAAGGGAAGTGTGTGCTGCCTCCATCCAGTGATACTCAAGCTTTAGAAATATTTTGGGTTCTTAGAAGTTAAAAAAAAAGAAGATATTTGTGGATATTCAAATCTGAGAAAAAACACTTTTATGCAAAATCTTTAATTTTATAACGCCTTCATTAGCACCTAGAGCATCACCCTTCTAAGTCATTTAATATTTCTATACTTACGTGAAAAACCATTCTGCCATTTAAATTTATATTCTTAAGGGGTAAAATGCCAGTTGCGTGATAAAAGCACTGGAAAGACTTGGTAAGTGTTAGAACACTGGGCATTGGAAGCTACTGGGAACTATGAATTTTCTAAGAAAGAGCAGTGGGACACTGTCTCACAGTCGGAGGCCACTTACAGGGTCTGTCTTGTCAGCAGACCTGCTCTGTGGCAGGTCAGATTGTCCTCATGCTTCGTCTTTGGCCATTGCTTTTGTTTCTCTCTCAGATTACCTTTGCCGAGTTTATAATTTATCATAAGTACATGCGCTCAGTCACATATATTTTGCAATTCCACTTCATTGTTATTGTTTGATTTGTTTCCATTCCCATTAATGCTTATTTATTCCTACATAGCAGTGCTACAAATGGAAAGTCAGAGACCATCCCAGCTGATGTCAATCACAAGTAAATATACCAGCCTGTCTGCAGTGCATGGTGATGGGGCTGTGCTTCCCTCCTACTAACTGGCATCGTAGTTTAGTGCTCTGCCTTTGGTCTTGGGGGGATGGTGAAGTGTTGTTGGTGGGTATACTGCTTACATGGTGGCAGATTTCTGTCTGGGTGACACTAACTCAGAATCGCAGTGCATGCTGGAAATGGGGAGCATGCTTACTAAAGAGTCTGACTCTAGGTGTTTGAGCATGCAGTGACAATTTTACAAGGGATAGGTAAGATTTAGAGTATGTTACAGGCCTGGGGCCGCAGATGTGGGTCCCAGCTTACCCTTTATAGCATATGCAAAAGATAGATAAGAATAACATTCTGAAGATGTTATTGAAATGTATAGGTACTCTCAGTATAAAGGCTAACTGCTCCTGACATAGTTGATGGCACTTAATGTGCTGAAAATCATTCTTTTGATATTCTCATACTAAAAGCTCACCTCTTTGCTCTCTGTTAGTTTTGCTCCATTATAATTCTGCTTCTAAAGAAAGTCACTTTTTGTCTTAATGACAGATAGTTTTTAGCTGGAGTAGCACATATCCTCTCATCTGGGCATGGACAGAGTTTGATAAAGCCATTTTCTTTTAGCTAAAGACACAGCTTGATATTCTTGTGACACTTCAAAAGTTATTTAGTTTAGCTTGAATTTTAAGTTTGGAAGGTAATTTGGAATGTGTGTACAGGAGAGAGGACCTGGAGATGGGAATTATCTCAGGATAGGATAATTGTCTCATCTGTGTTTTTTTCCTGCCTGTGCCACTATCTGTGCCGTTGGAGACAAGTCCCTTAAGTGTCTGTTTCTGCTGACGAGGACCTAGACTCTAAGTTTTGGCCAGCTTTGTGACTTGTTGCTCATGTCTTGGGAACTGGTATGCAGGGCCCTTTGTGATTTTCTGTCCCATACATCATTTTTAATATGTAGAAGCAAGCTGCTTTGATAATTGACTACATTTTTGACCTAATATTCTTCTCTTTGAGCCACACCACAGATTTTAATCTGAAAGCTAAAATCATTTCTTCATTTTGCAACTGAAATTAACATCCAGCCATCTCAGTTAAGATAAAACATTTAAAACTCTTTTCCTTCTTATTTGATTTTTTTTTATTTAGTGCTTTTGCCCCTTCCATTTACTTCATTGGCCCAAATGAGATCATGATTTAGAAAGTTCCTGTGGAAATTCTTCTCACTAAAGTGTGCCCTCCGAGAGTAGAAAAAGATTACCTACAAGTGAGAGATAAAAGGAGTATTTGTATAAAAGAGAAAGGAACAGCTTTGAGATATTCTGAAAGAAAGCAAAGATGTTTTGACAAAGTGACATTTTTATCTTTCTCCTTAATGTCTACTAACAGTGCTAGCCACCACAAAGCAAGGCGGGACAGCACTATTACTGGGCTAATGTGCAGTCTCCCGAGGTTTTGTATTCAGTGAGGTTTTGTATTCAGTGAGGGTGGTTTCTGCCTTTCCTTCTCTAGAATGTCCAACTTTAGTTATTAAAGTCCACTTTCTTAGTTTCTTGGAGTATCTTTCAGGTACTAGCAGAGAAGTTATACTTAGTTCAGCCATGTGTTCCTCAGGTTCGAAGCTGCTTCTGATTTAGGCATAGCCAACTTCCTCAGGGGTGCAGGTCATGCAGGTCTGTGTCTTATCAATGGATTGGTCCTTTCCTGTCAGCTTAATAGGACTCTGAGCTGCTGCAGAGGGTCTGGACCAGATCTCTTTAGTCCTTTTGGATAGAATTTGGCACATATCTGGAGGGATTATATGTCCCATCTTTTAATTTGTCTTTTCTTTGATATTGTCTGTTATCTGTCTAGCTTATTTATTCGTTCAGCCAACAAGCTTTTGTAGCCTACCCACACACCCGCAAGTGCTGAAGTAGCTTCCATAAGATAAATATATCTTTTCTTACAGCCTACCAGGAGGCTCTAGATGTACATACATAAAAATTAAATAACAGGCCTCATGTTTGTATGTTAAATGTGTGGTATAAATAGTAATTACTCTCAGAGGCAGTGATTGGCAGGTGTCTTAATATATTTGCTGTTTTTTTTTTTTTTTAAGATTTATTTATTTATTTATACAAGCACTGGGTACAGTCAGAAGCTCAGGAGGGTGAGAGATTCACCAGAGCCAGAGCGGGGAACAGAGCAGGCAGACTGACGAAATACACTGCTGAGGGGAGCAGCGGATGCAGCAGGAGAGGTCTGTCACGCCGCCATGTGGGACCCTTGCAGGTGGCCGGATATCGAAACGGCACTGCAGGGGCTGCGGGCAGCTTTGCAGCCAGCACTCAACCACTGCGCCACCTGGGGAGGCCCTGCATTTGCTGTTTTTAAAAAGTGTATTGAGTAAGAGCAATCAACATGAAATGCAGTGGTCCAGAGAAGGATGTTGCTTGAGCTAAATCTTGGGGAGAGTATGATTTTGGATAGTGGAGAATGACTTGGAATAATCCATAGTGGGTACAACATACTTGGTTCAAAGGGACAATGGCAGGGCAAGTAAGTTGGAGAATCTTCTGCTGGCCTAATGGTTCTATTCAGAGAAAGCTGGGCATAGCTAAACTCAGATGCCCTCTGACTTTATTCACACTACTAAAGCTTCAGACCACACATTTGGTAAAACAGAAGCTAGCTGTGGTTTGAGACTCCAAGAAACTAGTTTTTTGTATGCTTTGTATCCTTTTGGTAAAATTGTTGAAGTTGCAAAAAAAAAAAATCCTAAAAGTCTGGTGATCTTAAAAATTTTGAAAACTTGACTTTTGAGATAAATAATGTAGAAACTCAGTATTGCAAGTGGCTATAAATGTTAGAATATGACATAGAGGAAGCAAGTGGTGACTTTGACCTCAACACTCACTTGGGTGCTTTCTGCCTTGGCTCTCTAAAATGGGACATGGTGAAAGTAATAGAGGGGCAGGCACTTCGAAACCTTGAATAATCAGCTCAGCTAACCTAGGAGATATGGGCTATACAGACGTGTACTGGAAAATAGTTTAACTGACCTTGAGAACTACTGCCCAATAGGATTTTTTTGCAGGGGAGGAGATGGTGGATATCTGTGCTATCTGATCTGGTCATCATTAGCCATCTACAGCTGCTAAGCACTTAAAATTTGGTTATTATTAACACATTTTAAAATTTTAATTAAGTTTAACCACATGTACCTAGTGACCACTGAACTGCACAGTGCAGCTTTAGGATGTTTGTCATCTAATTCTCATAAAGTATGAGAATTAGTATCTAATTCTCACAAAGTTATGTTAAGAATTAAAATATGAAGGATTCCAAGCATCCAGTAGGTTGAGAACATAGTGCATACTCAATAACAAATTATAAATTACAACTTGGAAATGATATAAAACATAAGCTGTACATTAGGAGATAAGCATATTAATACTGATGAAGTGCTCTGAAGAGTACTTGCCTCAATTAGTGTCTCTTGGACCTTGAGGATTTCATGTTAACGTTACTCCAAACTTAGTGATGATCAGGGTAGGCTTTAAACTCTTTCTTTATCTAGGGGAATTTTGTTAACTGCAAGCTTCTCAGAGGAAAGTTATAGTCTGTATGTTCAGTCTGACAAATAACACGGGCAGCAAAATCTTTAACACGTTTGCTTTTTTTCCTTAGCTTGAAGGATGCCAATGATGTACCAATCCAGTGTGAAATCTCTCCTCTTGTTTCCTATGCTGGAGAAGTAAGTTTGCTAGGCTTTTTTTATTCTTTTAAAAGAAGGATTCTGGTACTGTCTTAGGCTTGAGTAGAGTTGCCCTACGAGAAGATGCCACATTTTCCGATGACCCTACCCTGAGGAGTTTCTCTGGGGAGCGAACTGAGAGAATTCCTGTTAGCACTCTAGATCTGTGCCACAGAATTTTGTGTTCAATCTATTTCACCTATACATTGAAATGCACGGACTTTCAAAAAATCAGCCTTGTTTTTTAGGTAACCTTTCTGGCTCTTTTTGATGCAATTTAGTTTTTCATCTCAATGGGTCTATTTTGTTCTTTAGACTTAGTACTCTTACTTTCAAGACTGGAGATACATAGAAGTTCATACTATTCTAATATGTAGGATTTCTTCTGGAGGACCTTGTCAGGTTGCTTTCTTTGAACATTAGAAATGATGCCACCTTGATTAGAAACTTAATTCTGTTGGTTGATGATTGTAGAAAGAATGGCTATCTTACTAACTTGTAATAGAATGTAATCAGAATTATTCTCCTTTTTTGTTGTTTTTATGCTTCTATTACTAGGTTACTAAGCCCGAGTTTAAAAATATACTAAATAGATTTTTGACTTAAATTCTAAAAGTCAACCCAACTTTTGTTATTCAACCCAACTTTTGTTATTCAACCCAACTTTTGTTATTCAACTTTCAAGTCATTATACACTAAGTCTACCATTGCATAACTTGTGTTTTATTTTAACCCTTTTTCTAGGGAATAGAAAGTTATGTGGCAGATAAAGAATTCCATGCACCTTTAATCATTGATGAGAATGGAGTCCATGAGCTGGTGAAGAATGGTATATGAGTCAGATGCCAAATCCCACTACAACAGGAATAGCTTTTATTTTTGATATCCCAACTGTGAACCTACTGGACCTGTCCTGGAATACTCAAGTTTGAATAGCCACAGGGTTTTATTTTACTTGTTGACCTCTTATAACTACTACATACTCCCTCAGATCCAGATGACTGAACTTAAGAAAGCATCTTTATGATTCTCAATTTATTGAACACTTTATTTATATTTTTCAACTGTATGATTCTTTCCCCTAGCCCCCTGCCACCCCTAACCCCCTACCCCCAGGCCAAGGAACACATTGGCTATCCAGGAAATTTTCTTCAGCTTAAGTATAGTCAGTTTGACATTTCTTTACTTGGAACTGGAAGCATTTGCTTTTGAAGTTGTACATAGTAATAATATGTCATTGTACATGTCAAAGTTTCTATGGTACTAAAACTGTGTTTTATTTTATCAAAAATTAAACTTTTTTAAGAAAATAATTGGACAGTAAAATAAACTTTTCTTTTTGTCTCTGGAGTGTCATTTGTACCTTGATGAAATCGCCATTGGGAAATTATAAAACTTCAGAGAAACTTTGTGGTAGTAGGTAACCCCTGCTTTTTGAAAGTTTGCTTTACATCCTTTCACTTTTAGGAAAGACCTACAATAATAACGGTTTTTACTAACTGAAAGAAATCCAAAGAGGATTTTGCTTTTATGACAGAAGGTGAAAAGCGAAAATGGTGTCAGGGTTGGTTTTGCAGTAGCAGTGGCACCCTGAATATTAGTGACCCCACCAAGCTCCTTCCCTGAACTGCTTCCTGTATTCTTGTGTATCATCACTCTCATGCCTTTCCTCTGTGTGAGTGTGATTTTAAGTTTGATGTGTCATTTGATAGGTTATTTTTTGGGTCTAGAGATGCTCCTAAGTGTTTTCATATAAATTAATGGTTATTGCTTCTTTGCTTTATGCTATTTTGACTTAGAAAGGTTTCATAGGTATGCTCTAACCTTTAGATGGTGGGGAAACTTGTAATGTAAAAAAATGTCAAATGTGACAAAACCGAACAGAACCAGAAGAAACCATCTTTGGTGTGACCTCAAACTCTAGTGCCAGTTTTAGCATTATACACTTTCCTACCCTGATTTCTCATTGCCCGCCATACTTGTCAAACATAATCATCTAGTATTGATGACTGATTTATGATTATGGAAAAAAAAGTGAATTTCAAACATACAGAATAGTAGAGAACAGAGTAAGGAACCCCTGTTATTTAGTTTGTTACAACTAACAATCCTGTTTCATGTAATTTCTACCCCCCACACCTCCACTGAATTTCTTTCAGGTCCTCCATTTTGGATGTAATACTAAAGTATACACTTAAAAGTACAATTGTATTTTTATTTAGAATTCTATTTTATGTATAATCATAATACTTTAAAAATCTCATCTGCTTCATATGAACTGCTATAGAGTGAATGTTTGTGTCCCCTCTGGTTTACATGTTGAAATGCTCACCCCTGACGTGATGGTGTTAGGAGGTGGGATCCTTGGGGAGGTCATTGAGTCATGAGGGTGGAACCTCATCAATGGAACCAGTGAACTGCCTGTGAGGAGACAGCCATCTATGTACTAGGAAGCCCCAGTCACTGAACTTAAGAGTGCTGATCTTAGACTTCTTAGCCTCAAGAACTATAAGAAAGGGCCTCCCCTGGTGGTGCAGCCGTTGAGTGCTGGGTTGCGAGGCTGCCCACAGCCTCTGCAGCACCAGTTTGATCTCTGGCCACCAGCGAGGGTCCCACCAAAAAAAAAAAAAAAAAAAACCAAAACTATAAGAAATAGGGCCTCCCCGGTGGCGCAGCGGTTGAGCGCTGGGTTGCGAAGCTGCCCGCAGCCTCTGCAGCGCCGGTTCGATCCCCGGCCACCGGGTGAGGTCCCACATGGCACGCAGACCTCTCCTGCTGCCTGCTGCTCCCCTCAGCAGTGTACTTCGGTCCTTCTGCCTGCTCTGCTCCCTGCTCTGGCTCTGGTGCATTCTCTCACCCTCCCGCGCTTCTGATTGTACCCAGTGCTTGTATAAATAAATAAAAATAAAATCTTTAAAAAAAAGAACTATAAGAAATAAATTTTTGTTGTTTTACAAACCACCCAATCTTTTTGTTATAGCAGCCTGAATTTACTAAGACATTATCTAATGTCCAGCCACTGTTCAAGTGTTCCCAAGTGTCTCAGATTAACTTTTGAATATTGGTTTATTTGAATCAGATTCTAATGTCCATTTATTGGCATTTGTCTCTTAAATGTTTTTTTAACTATATAGATCCTCTTATATTGATTTGTTGTAAAAATAACAGGTTATTTTTCCAGTATAATTTTGTAGATTTTGGATTTCATTTCCATGGTGTCCCTAATCATCTTCCATATTTCCTGAAAACTAGTTGTAGCTGAGGCTTGACCAGATTCAGGCTATTTTTTTATTTTAATAAAAATCCTTATAGATGGTGTTGCATGCGTCTATTGGATTTTATTTGGAGCATATTATTGCCTTTCTCTTTGAGACATTAAGATTGATGAGGGTTTCTTGTCTAGGTATCATCAGCCTGATGCAGCATTACAAAGTCCCCACTGACCTTTCATTTACCCTTTTAGCAGCTCTTGTTTCCTAGATTGCTTTGTAGTGGCTGAAAATGGGAATTTTTCTACCATTTCTTGTTGTTAGCAGGCATTCCTTATAAAGAAAAGCTTTCCTCAATTATTTGATCACCTAGTAAGGCAAAAGCAGGATAAATGCTTGAATTTTTCCCTTCATTCATTTCCAGAATAGTGAGTTGTGCCCTTGGAGAGTGGAAGAACTCTCCAAGAGTGATCAGAAGCTCTACACAATCGTGAATATTACGAAATCATAGATTTTTTTTAAAACTTGTCTGATGTGTCTTCATCAATGACTGTCATTATTTGTTTTGACCAGTTAATCCCCTCAAATTGGCTCCTGTGCCCTCTGACATAACTCCAGTATTTCGTGAGACTTCTTTGCTTTCTGGTGTGATAAGATGTCTCAGGACCAACTCACACATTTCCAGACTAACCCTAGACAGATTGCCCCACCTTCACCCCACCCAGAATACCTGGTCCTTTATAAAATATATTATTTATTGTGGCATGCTTACTTTACTGACAAGTGGGAAATCTTTGCAATGAAAATTTAGATTGGTAAATTTAAATTTACTTGTGGAATTAAGCTTGCATTCTTAGATTGAAGGACTGATGAGACCCTATTCTAGAAAGATCCTGTCCTTCTGGGATGAGAATGTAAATGGGAGTATAGCTAGGGCATGTGCCGGGGTCAGTTTCTAGGAACGGAGGGGCCTATACTCCTCTCTGCACTCTCTCAGTACAAGTTAGAGCTGGATAATTCCTACAAATTCATGATGGTCACCTTGAAATGTGACTGCAAAGTCTGAAGGAAAAGCTGTCCAGTAGTGCCTAGCACAGAGAAAGGAGTTCATCTTGGCAAAGAAAATCATCTTTTTTTTTAATGGGAAAAGGTATATTCAGGCACTATTATTTGGGCTAGAGTTCTAAGTCCCTTTTAAAGACTGACCTAGAAAATAAGTTTTGTTTGTTTTGGAAAAACTTCTGGATATTTCTGTGATGGTGTTTTTTTGGGTAGATTGACATTTAAATCTTTGGACTTTGACTAAAGTAGATTTCCCTTGACGATGTAGGTGGGCTTCATCCAATCAGTTGAAGTCCTTAATGGAACAAAGACTGGCCCTCTCTCTCTCTCTCTCTCTCTCTCTCTCTCTCTCTCTCTCTCTCTCTCTCTCACACACACACACACACACACACACCCCTCCATAAACAAGATGGAAACTCTGCAGGTAGATGACCTATGAACTTGAATCACAAAATTGGCTCTTTCTGGGCATCCAGACTACATCAGAACTCTCAAAACTCGTAAATAAAAATCCAATCTAAATTTAAAAGGACAAAAGATATGAACAGATATTTCACTAGGGAAAATACACTGGTAGCAAATAAAGACATGAAAAGATTCTCAATATCATAGTCAACAGGGAAACGGAAACTACAGCCATAGTGAGGAGGCACACGACATGCCTATAGAATTAAAGATTGACCATTCCACAGTTGGCAAAGATGTGCAACACTCGCACATTGCTGGTTGCCAATATAAAAGGGCACAACTATGTTGGAAAACAGTTTTGCAGGTTCTTGAAAATTGAAACATAAATTTAGCATAGTGCCTAGCAATAATGTTGAGGGAAAGAAGCCAGACACAAAAGAACACATACTATACTGTTCCATTGATATGAAGATCAAGAATTAGCAAAATGGGGCCTCCCTCGTGGCACAATGGGTTAAGATGCAGCCTATGAAGCTATCCACAGTCACTGCAGCATGAGTTTGATCCCCAGCCAGGGGGGTGACCCACATGGCACAGCAGACCTCTCCTGTCTCACCCGCTGCTCCCCTCAGCAGTGTTTTTCAGTCAATCCTCCTGTTCCCCACTCTGTGGCGAATCTTCCCAGCCCCCACCTCTGTCCTGTAACCCAGTTCTTGTATGCATAAATAAATAAATCTTTAAAAAAAAAAAGAATTAGCAAAATGAATCTATAGAGAAAAAATTCAGAATAGTAATATTTATGGTAAAAATTATCTACTGAGATAGGAGCATAATGGAGGCTGCTAAGTGATGGAACTATTCTATATTGAGACCAGCAGTACTTATAGATGGTCTATATATTAGTAAAAGTTCATCCAGCTAAACACTTAACATTTGTTTACTGTATTCTTTGATGTTATCACTCAAACAGAAAAAATAGGTATATTATTCTATGTATTTTGAAGTTGCAAAATACATTTAAAAAGAATTCATTAGTCACAGGGAAAGTTTAAAAAGCTTACCTAGGATTCCATAACTTAGTAGGGGACACTACCAGATTAAAATCCAAGTCTCTCTGACTCTAAGGTCCTGCTTTTAATCACTATACTATCTGTTTCCTATCATGCTTTCTCCTCTTGCCAACAGCTTTCTGAAAATTATTGAGTTCACCAGCTATTGCATTAACTTTTGGAAGAGTAAGGCAATGAGATAATTGTGTGTTGCAGTTCTTAAGCTATCAAGATCAAAGAGGAATGGGAAAAGCTGAGAAGAAAGGGAGAGCGATTGTTTTCAGTAAACTTTACGTTAGAACTTTAGCAGTTCTAATGAATGGCATATTGGTAAGAGACTGGTTCTACCTCTGGTGTCAAAGAAGGACGGTCATAAGCACAAGAGACACCAGACAGGATCCATAATGGATCACTCTCACCAAGGCCACACTCACATTGCTCTACAATTGGGAACACAACATTATGCAACGCTAGCACAAGCCAATTACTGTTTTTCAGCCCAGGCTACATTTCCTCTTTATTTATAGGAATGTGTGTATGCTTGCAGGGAATAGCAAAGAGCAATTCTGGGAATAACCAATTAACATTTGAGAGTAGAATTGGGCTATATTTAGTTAAGCATATTTGTTTCAGT